ACAACAGTTGGCTACAATTACCATGAGCTGCAGCAGAGGCACCTTGTCACCCACATTGCTTATTAATCTCTGTTCTAATATTATTATTATTCCAAAACACAGAGCACCACCTCTGGCCCTATCATCATATGAGAACGAACTCACAAAGTGCATATTTTTCTGAGCTGGGAGTTATTTAAGCTGAAAGGGTGAAGATGCTGAGGAAGGAAGCTGTGCAAAAAGATGAGGAAGGACAAAAAGTTAAGTTTGATGGAAAAGAAATAAGATACTGTTAAAAGCTAGGAACTAGTGTAAGATCAGTTCTTTTTACCTGTTCTGCCTCCCTCTGACTTTTAGCATATTTGTATTGAGTACAATTCTCACTTCAGGATCTGCCACTCTGGGAGTGATTTGAGAAAAAGGCTACCGCATGCAAAAGTGGGGTTTTTAAAGAGTAAATGAATGAATATTAAGCTCATTCATCAGCTTAATAATGAGCTTAATGCCACTACTTCAAAGATTTTTTTTCTGATAAGTCATGACAGACATAATACTTTTCCTGGAAGAAAGGGTCTATCTACCTCACCTGATCACAAAGAAAATTTTGGAAAATTAATCCAGAGAGTCACGCCCAGAGGACATAGTCAGAAACTAAATAAGACCCAAATAATAGTTTGCTTTATGTAAATCTTCTCGGCTGTAAAGCAGAGTGGAAGATTGTTCTATGTCTAGGAGCGGCCTGACTGCTATGTAAAATATTAAGCACCCTGAGCTGAACACAAATACAAGATGCATCCCTCGGTATGAAGATAAAGGTTTTTGTCTTTCACAATTCTCCAGTTCTCAAGCTATTGTCTTTCTAGTTAACTCAGACTTTCAGCATATTTTGGAGTGGTTTTCCCAGTCTTCCAAAGGCTACTTTTGTCACCCCCCATTTGAAAATAAAATTTCAGGAGCAGTTGCATTCATCTGGTGGCTAAACTAGCTTAAACAGAGCTTCTTGGTTTGGTGTCTCTCCAGTAGATTCAGACCTTTATTGTAAGCTCCCTTTTTGCCTTTTACAGGCATTTCCCCAAGTATGTGCCAACATATCTTGATGAAGTCTTGTCTCTGTCTATAGCAGCTAGATGTTTGACTGCAGTGAGAACAAGATTTCTCCTACTGCCTCTATTTTTGTATAACCTATGAAAAGATAATGAAGGTGGAAAGCAGGCATAAACAAACGTTCTGAGGAAGCAATTTATTTTCATTTCAGCTTCACTCTAGTTCAGCAGTAGACAATATGATTATGTGTGCTACATATTTGATATTCATTACCCAGTGCTTTCAGTCTGTGCAGTTCTTAATTTGGGTTTTCAGGAGGATGACTGATGTGCAGACCATAACAGCAGTCCTTGAACAGGCCATGTAGAAGCTGAAAGATCAAGATGGCAAATCAGAACATTACCATTTTCCCAATGTTTCACTTCTTGATTTTACTGTTTCTGAAAGGGTCATTCATGCTCTGATTTTCTATTTTGTCCTACACAAGTCTTCAAGACCTACACAAATTTAGGCCATGTAAATACTTCTTACTATCATATTACTCATTTGTTTCTCACTGTAAAGCATCTGGAATCATGTCAGGTTCAAAGTATCCTTCCTTACCCTAAAAACCTTCACAGGAATAAAGGTACACCACAGCAGTGGCAAGCTGTTGCAGTTTACATGAAAAGGGGCCCCATTTTTACTCACACAAGAGGGTGTCAGGGTGCTCACTGCTTCCAGCATAGTCTGAAATACTGTCCTTTACAGATGCAGCTCCAGCTCATCAGACACTTTGCATGACTCACTTACAGTCTGTTTGTTACAGCTGTCTAAGTTTTGGCTGCAAATCTGCTCCCTGTTGGTGTTTAAATACGCCCTTCCCTTTTCTGCTGTGGTCTTAAGACTCCCTCTGACAAGCAGCATGAGCAAAATGGTGTAATGCCATTGGGATACACTGGCTTAGCTTGTACAATCAGAAGTTTAAATTATTCACAAATCAGAAACATAAAGCAAGGAAATGCTCAGCAAGCCAAATGAGTTGAGCTTTTGAGGTCTATTTTCAGGTGTTTTCTGCTGGTGTATTTTAGAAATCAGAGGACTTAGGTGGGTTTCCATCAGGTAAATCCCTGGCCATGAGCCAGGTGAATGGTCTCTGTTTTGAAAAGAGTGAAACAACAAACCAACAGAAGCGGAGAATGCTGAGCAGAGAAGGACTTGGTGAAAGGCTAGGGAGGGAGCTAGAAACCTGAGTTGCACTGATGGAAGGAATTCAGCATGCTTGGTGTAGATACCTCGTGCATACCTGCCTTTCAAGCTGCCCGCTGGCACTCCCTGTCTCAAGAAGTGCCATTATTATTTTTATAGTCAATGGATGGAGATACGTGTCTCCACAAAGAAATCACGCTCGTCTTTCTTAGGGGGTAACACGCAGGGTTTTACTCAGACATCTGCAAAAGCAGACCATTGCCTGTGCATGCTGCAGAAAGGTGGCAACCAAAATGAAGTGTATGTTGGGTGCTTGAATGAGAAAGACTCAGCCTTAATACACTTTGGCAAGGAGAAGAGGCTGTCAAAGTGTTGCCAGCTTAGAGCTCAGACAGTTCCAGAAGATACAAATGGCAAGGAGGAGATGGCAACAACACTTACTCGTTTCTTCCTACTTCCAGTTTTGCTCCTTCATTGCCTGTAGAGATTCACATTCATCCTTCAAGTACTTTGTGATGTATTTACCTTCTTTCCTTCTTTCAACACCAAGCTTTATGTGCAATCGCCTCAGGACTGAGGGAAAAAAAAAAAGAAAACAAAGCAAAACGCCAAGGCCTGAGGGCAGAAATATTTTAGGTTGCCGGGAGAAAGATGTTATTTTATGATTCACTGCTTATTTGTACTGTTGATGGCTGGCTTTTGGGAATTAATGGAAATCAGACATGTTTCACCTAGCTAGTTGTACAGTCTTACTTCTGTTTGGTGTAGTGGTGGGTACATGGCTACTGTAGCTCCTTTAAGGATAAAAGGTGACCTTTCAAGCTGCAGTCATGCAGAAAGGCTTATGGGAAGCATTCTGGAGAGACAATGCCTTTGAGGCATCAGAAGCTTTCCACACTGCTCTTTACCCATAAAGGACTTCTGCTACTTGGGGCATCCACAGTTCCTCTGGGCAGCCTCATCCAATGCCTTAACACCATCCTAAAGAGGAATTTCTTCCTAATATTTAATCTAAACCTGCCCTCTTTCAGTTGAAATATTCCCCTTTGCCCTTGTAAAACATCCCCTTCCAACGCTCTTCTAGCCCCCTTCAGGTGCCTACAAGGTGCTGAAAGGCAGCCTTCTCCAGGCTAAACAGCTGCAAATCTCTCAACCTGTCTCCATAGGAAATAATCTTTGACAATTCTCTGATAATCTTTGTGGCCTTCCTCTGGACATGCTCCAATGACTCCATGTCCTTCTGTAGCCCAGACTGAACACAGCCCTGCAGGTAGGGTCTCACAAGAGCAAAGCAGAGGGGCAGAATCCCCTCCCTTGACCCTGGGGTCAAGCCCATGCTGCTTTTGATGCACACCAGGGTGAAGTTGGCTCTCTGTGCTGCAAGGGTACACTGCCAGCTCTTGTTGAGCTTCTCATCCACCAACATTCCTGAGTCCTTCTGCCCAAAACTACTCTCAATCAATGTTCCATTCAGCCTGTGTTTGTGCTTGGGATTGCCCTGACCCAGGTGCAGCACCCTCCACTTGAACATCATGAGGTTCTCACAGGCTCACCCCTCAAACCAACCCAGGTCCCTCTGGATGACATTCCTTCTCTCCAGTGTGTTGACTGCAGCGCACAGCTTGTTGTCATCAGCAAACTTGCTGAGGATGCACTTGATCCCACTGTCCATCTCATTGATAAAGATGTTAAAACATATTGGTCCCAGTTCTGACCCCTCAGGAATACCACTTGTCACTGCTCTCTGCTTGGACATCAGGCCATTGACCATCCAGCCAATTCCTTATCCACTGATTGATCTCTGTCAAATTCATGTCTGTCCACATTAGACACAAAGTTTCACGTAGAACAGTGGCCAATTCTTTGCATAAGTCCAGGTAAATTATGTCAGTCACACTCTTCCCTCACACACCAAAGCTGTAACCCCATCATAGAAGGCCACCAGATTTGCCAGGTACCATTTGCCCTTAGTGAAGTCATGCTGGCTGTCACCAATCACCTCCTTATTTTCCATGTGCCTTCTTATAGTTTCTAGGAGAATCTGCTCCATCATCTCAACAGACATTGAGATTGCCTGTCCTGTAGTTCCCCAGGTCTTTTTTTTTTCCCTTTGAAAAGGGGACTTATGCTTTTCCTGTTTCTATCAGTGGGAATTTCACAGGACTGACACAGATTCTCAAATATGATGGGTACAAGCTTACCTACTTCCACTGTCAGTTCCCTCAGGATACTCAGATGCATCTCATCAGGTCCCACGGATTTGTTCACCTTGAGGGTCCTTAGATGTTTTCAAACCTGATCTCTTACAGCAGATGGTTCTTCATTTTCCCAGCTCTTGCCTTTGCCTTCTCGGGGAAGGAAGGTGTGTGATCATCCTCCATCTGACTGTGGGCAAACACTGACCTGTGCTGCAGGCTTTGGTGCTTTCCAGCACAAGGATGCAAAAGAGATGTGCAAGAGAGCGTCTGTGTTTGGTAATCCTGTTTCTAAAGGAGCCTCCATAACACATTTTGGCTTTTGTCTTTAGACTTTCTCTCCGGTATTGTGGGACATACTTGTAAAGCTTGATGTGCCTGTGCTTTTGAAAGGTTCACCAAATAGCGCTTCCATTCAGCTTCAATATACAAATGCAGAGTTAGCAAATTCATACAGTATGTCTGCATATCCAATTTGGCTTTTTTTTTTAAAGCTATAATCTTTCTACAGTTTTGTTGTATTTTAACTAAAATTACTATCCCATAGCAGAGATCTAGACTTTATTACATGTGTTTTCTATTTCTGTTTTGCAGTTTTTGTTATGACAGCAGTTGCTTTCACTTCTACAATGACTCAAAATACATCTGAGATCATGTGTGGGTTTATCAGCCAGAAGGATGAAGGTTCAGAAGCACCACAGACATCAGTAGCTCCTAAGGTGATATAATAGAGAACAAGTTGCTTGTAAAATGTTCCTGTCTGTTCCAGGAATACCTTCCCAGGAACTTACAACACCCTAAACCTTTAAAATGTGAGGACATCACAGACAAAATCACTAGGGTTATGCCAAATATGGCTCCAGAAGGTTAGAGGGATACATATCTGAATATTCAGACTCTGAAACTGAATAGTTAAGTACCAGTTTTCTCTAAAACTGGCTTTTTTAATAACATCTTGATATTATCTTATATCAGCATGCCTGAATATTGCTGGATATTGTTGGCAACATATCAGTGTAAAAATATATATGAACACATGTGCCCTTAAGAGGAGACTGCCATGGCCATGGTGCATGTGTGCCATTGTTGCTGGGACTGACAGAAAGCTGTACTGCCCTCTATTCCCACCACAAAAGCCCATAAATCCCTGCCACTTCCGAACTTTGACTTCAACACCAAAGCTGGACAATTAATCAAATACTATTTTATTTTTTTCTCTTCTGACTCAAAATGGTAAAAAGCCAGGTGGAGGTGATGTGTAACTAAATTATAAATCATCTGAGACCTGCAGTTAAAACATTTCCTGAGGATTCTTGTTTCAAGGCAGTCTTATGAAATCTTTTTCATTCCTGAACAACTGAATCAGTAATTCAAATAATAAATGAAGGTATAGTAGCCAAAGCTGTGCTGTCCTGGTATCTGACAAGGCAGAACATGGCTGTTACTTCTGGGTACTTCTCAGGTCAAGAGAAAGGAAAAAGGATAGAGACATGGAAAAACCAACCAAACAAGCAAAATGGGGATGCAATGAACTCTGTCCTTTCATAAACTTACACTGGATAAAATTCACCCAACAAAGCAATGGAGATATTTAGGGCTCTTCTTCCGATGGAGCTACTTACTTACCACCTTTTGCTGTAGCTAATCTTAGAGACTCACTAATCCATTGGTGGCTTTCAGAATAACTGTGGAAGATTCTGTTTCTGTTTGCAATTCTCCTTTAATTGTACACAGGGGTGAGGAAATGAAAAATATGACAGCATCCAGCCCAAATGTTCCTTACCCAATAAAGCCCCCAAGGAGTTGAGGAGCAGTCTAGCCAGATGATGCAGTGACAAGCAATGAGATGCTAAAATGATGAGATAAAAAGAGATGCATTCTGACCCTGCCTTTGCTTCCAAGCTGCAAACAGAAAGGTTTTATTATAGTTCTGTGTCTCCCTATGGTTCTAAATAAAAGGAAACAAAATCAAGTGTAAAGAATAACCCATATCACTACCAGAAATTATCATGGCTCTGGCTAAGATTGTTCTGTGGTGTTTGTCTAGAGAACAGAATTTACTAATTCAACAGGAACTCTATAGAGTTTCCTCATGCAGTAGAATTCAACATATTTATTAATAGGTTGGATTGTAGAAATCAAAAAAGTGCATCCTTTAAAAATATCTGAATAAAAAACAAAAAAACAAGAAAAAAAGACAAATAAAGCTAACTGCTAATAAATACCTAACAGTCTGTCCTCCTGCATTGCAGGTTCCTAATATTTTGGAAGACCTTGGGTGTTACTTGAATTCTCAAGGAACAGAGAATATCTACCAAACAATTAAAAATGTGGAAGTCAATGTTTTTGAAGATATTGAATTAAGAATAACAATGAGTATTCCAAATATCATTTCATGCTTCTGGTTCTTTAAAAAGAGCAAAGCCTGTGAACTTTCTTTCGACTCAGAGAATAGGTAAGTCAAGGGATGTACTGGATCAAAGATCCTTTAAGAGATCTTTTCTTTTAGAATGCAAATTGAATGTTTTCTCTGACTGTGCCTGTGTTTGATTTCATGTGTGCATTATCTTTTTCAATCTCTTTATCCTTAACTGTTGTAACTCAGCAGCACATTACTGATTGTCATTTAGATCAATGTACACATATGAATCTTAAAACCAAGAACATTTTAAAATAAGCTTGTTCTTTTAATTTGTATAGCATCCTGCATGGGGGTCTCCAGGCACTCTCTGACATTGATGGATTTGAGCTTTCCCATGCTCGTGAGGAAAAATTGTGATTTTATAGTCAAAGAAACAGAGGCATGGAGAGTTATATGACTTTTAGGATCACAATGCACATCAAGAACAACAGCAACAGAATTCTAACTCTCACAGCCAAACCTGGACTGGAACCTGAGACTCCATAATTGCCTCCTCATGCAAAACTTGTATAATGAGACTGTAGGTAAAGCATTTGGCTGTGGAGCTCCTGAACTGCCTCAAGCTCAGGAAGGCCCTCCTTGCCAATGCTCAGCATTCAGCATGTGGTACTGTGGCTGTAAGTTCCTATGTGCTGTTTGTGTAGGAAGACACATGAAGGAAATATTTCAGGTTGAAGGGCACTGTGTAAATAATGAATACCACTATATACAATCTTTGAAGGGTTTTTGCAAGCACTAAAGAGCTAACATTTAATTGTGTGTGCTGCATATTACCTTCTTCATATTAGCGTGTCAAATACAACTTTACTTTCTGTTTTATAGATATATAACATCTTTGGCTTTTTCCCAAATAAAAGAAGGACAAGCTGGAAAATACACCCTCTTGGTCACAAGTAAATCTGGCAATTACAGAGTAGTTGTGCCCGTTCTCATCCAAAGTAAGTATGTCTAATGAAAGGGGTCATTCCATCAATAGGTTCAAGGGCAGAGGCTCAAGTTCAGTCAAAGCAATGAAGCTTTCATGTGCTGCACTTCAAGCATCTTCCTAGATTAGCATAGCACTTGGAGCTGTCTTCGGAGGCTGAAGGCAGAACCACAAACTACATGAGAGTCAGCTTTCTCTAGTCAATAAACCATGCAAATGAACAAATAAAGATGTAAATGTGCAGAAGCTTTCTTCTCCCCTGTGAAAAATTCCTTTCTGTGTCAAAAGGGACACACTGTGGCTTTTTTTTGTGCTTTTAAGGCTTGTGGGCTAGATTTTTTTGATCTCATTTTAGCCTGTTTATTGTTGATGTTGCTAACTGTGTTGTAATCTGGACCAGATCAGGATTTCCCTTTTATATTCTGGTCACACTTTAACCTGCTGCCACTTTTCCACTTTTGCCTGGGTCTCTCACTTCTCTCACTGCTTCCTTTTGCAATTCTGTGGGTGGCAAGAGGTACACTGAGGAAAGGGAAAAGAAACAGTCCCTCTTCTTAGTGGCAGCTTTGACTTGTTGATTGTCTTTTAAACCAAAGCTCATCAGTTCTGCAGCTGCTCAACACAAGTGTGCCCGAGAAGCTGAGGTTTTAGCTGCTGTTAAATGCTGATGACAGAGCACCTGTGAGGTGCAACTTTTTGAAAGGCTCCCAGTGGGAGTGGATTTGATTGAATTTTCTCAAGGTGCACACAAGAGACACCTCTGATGCAAAGGCAAAAGCTGCAACAAAGTGCAAGCTTCTGTTTCTAACTAGGGATGTCTGAAAGCATCTCAAAAAAACATATAAAGACGCATGGTGACATGATTTTTTAACAGAATATAATGATTATATTATCTTGTCTGGAAAGGGACAAATTTAAAGATAAAATTTAAAACAGCAAAAAGAAATTTCAAAGGCAAAACCTCAACCAAACAGCTAAAAGACTAGTGAATGCTACCGGGTTTAACAAGTGCTATTACTTGCCTTGATTTTAACAAACTGTGACTAATCAGCATTTGTTTTTCTCTATTTAGTTTTTTTTTAAAGTATTTCTTCTGTTTAACTTTTTTATCTCTCTCTGGTTCAGAAAAGTCACCTCTAATCTCTCCTTGTTTAATTTGAAAGCTTACTGCATGCCTCAATTATAAATTTAACAGCTTCATTGAGGGGACAAAGTATTAAACCTTTCATTAAGAATTGCCATCTCTATATCAATTAGGCTTTAGAGGTAAAAAGTGTTAGTACATGTGCAAGCAAGAATAGCTTGAAACAATGTCGGTAAAGGTCCTTTCCCTATCAATTGCTTGGATTGCTTTCTCTTTGCTCCTGTGAATTTAATGTCATAATTACATCTCTTATAAAACCCTTCAGGCTAGATGTGAATCCTTCAACTTGGATATGAATCTCTGTAGGTAAAAAAAAGAACTCTAAGTCTTATCCTATAAGACATAAATGAGGAAAGAAATTACAAAGCCATGAGTATTACTTTCACCTCAGTGCGTCACCTTGCCCACAATGAAAGTATGACAGAGGAAAATGTCATCTTTTATATGTGACAGCTGCAATTTCATTGAAAGAGGACTTAAAACTGGACACAGTGCTTTTCATTTTGAGTCAAACCTTTATCAGATTCAATACATTAATTTTTTTGCTCCTAGTCCAAGTCTGTGCCTGAGAGGATCAGGGTGCTGGGAATTGTCTAGGAATCATTTCTCTCTGGGTTACAGATGCAGGGTAGAGAAGTTTGCTGGTTGTCAGAAGTCATTATCACCCCTTCTGTCTCCATCATGAGCAAACCCCATTTTGTGTACAGATTTTTTTAGTCTCAACAGATACTCCACCAAAGGACAGGCTTAGCATGTAATTTCAAAATCACATTTGCCCCCACCCAGTGAAATGAATAGCAACCACAGCAAATTAACACCTTTCAGCCTCAGGATTATCCCCTGGCATATGGAGGCAGGCCTTTGGTACAGGGAAGCTGTGTATTTAGCAATCAAGGCTGAAAAGCTCATGAGACCAACCCACCCACCTAAGGCTAAATTGTTTTATGTTCCCTCAGTGTTAAATCTGAAACAAATTGCAGCTCTGTAACTTTATGTACTACAAAATAAGCAAAACACGCTTTCAAAATTATTTCAGCTTTCTTTAACATTTGCATGATTTTTATCAGAAAAACCAGCCAAACCCTATTTCAGGAAAAGGGACAAATCGGATTCTATCGAGTGCATATCTGAGAGCTACCCCCAACCCTCTGTGGAATGGATATTCTGCAAAACACCAGAAAAGAGGTATGTGTATGTTTATACGCATGGTGAATCTCTAGACTGAAAGTTTGCCATCTTCTGGAGAAAAAGTGACAGGGTGAGAAGAAATGACCTCAAGATGTGCTGAGGGAGGTATCAGATTGTATATTAGGAAAAATTTCTTCACTTATAGCGTTGCTAATCACTGGAACAGGCTGCCTAATAAGCAAATTAATCACCATCCCTGGAAGTGTTCAAAAAACATGTAATGTGGCACTTGGAGACTGGTTTAGTGGTGAACATGGCAGAGTTAATTTGACAGTTGGACTCAGTAATCTTAGATGTCTTCTCCAATGTTAATGATTCTATGATTCTACACTGCTTAGTGTGCCTACTCAACTGGGGAGATAACTGAAGAAAAGCCTTTGATTCAGGATTCTTGGAGATGGGCTCTGCTGTTTGGCATACTCGTGGGCTGGTTGAAAACCTGTGTCCACGTGATCCACTTTTGGAGTGATGCAACACATTTTTCCTAAAACTTTTGACTATTTTGCTCTTTTGGAAACTGTCAGCTCTTGGCTTTAGAAATTTTATTCCAGTTTCATATTTTGATGACACAAAGACAAATCAAAGGCATCTTGTTTCCCCCCTAGTTTTTCATGTTGTTTTTAGATTTGAATCTTACAATCATAGAACGCTTTAGATCGGAAAGAACCTTAAAAGCTCATCTTTAGAGTCTAAGTGCCCTGCAATATGCAGGTACATCTGCCACGAGATGATTTGATGGTTTCAAATCACCTCCCTGTGCCTTAGCAGAGCTTCTAGGAGTCTGTTCTGTGACCTTCCCAGGTACAGAGATGAGGATGACAGCTTGGCAGTTCCCATAGGCTTCCTTTCTACCCTTTTTTAAAATGATGCAATGTTTCCCTTTTTCTAGTCACTGGGGGCTTCACCAGGAGTATCAGAGCTGAGAAGACAAGGGGTCATGATTTTGTGAGCTAAATAATCTTCCCCATTCTATTAATATATAAAGTTTATTCTATTAACAGGGGCAATAATACTTTTCTCTGCAGCATGGCTGTTTGGGGTCTGGATCTCATAATGCCACTGGATTTGCAGCACCTCCCACCACCAGGAAATCAGAGATGCAGTGTGAAAGCTCAGTCTCTATGATTTTACTCTTGTCTGGATTTTAATCACATCATTACCTGTCTAAGAGCCAGTTTGAGCATATTCAGGTCATTTCAGCTCACATTTCTGCCCAGACTGTACATTTTTTCTTTCTTATCTTCACCTTTCCTAGTTCCTTTTTATTCAATATGTGAAATCCAGTTTTCCCACTATTGTTTGCATATTCTCATGGCTTAGAGATTTATCAGATTTATTTGCTTGCGGTTAACCAAATGAGTCAATGAATAATTATGCTTGTAATTGCAGTTGCCCTTATAAAAGGCATGAAGAAACTGGAGAAATAGATGGCAAACAGATGGTGCAACATGAATTATTTCAAACTTACATATGGTGCTGTGCAGTTAATGTCCTGGGCAGAGAATGCACCAGCCTCTTTACAATAGGTAACTTCCCTCTAAGCTTTACTTTCATGTGAGCTCAATGCTGCTGCTGAAGTTAGTTGCACTACCCATCTGAGTATGATTTCTCGTTTAAGCTACTTTTTCGTAATCACTGGAATAAAGTTAACAGTGAATATGCTTGCTCTGTCACATGTCTAAAACCTAATTCAAATTCTCCCTGGTCTCTGTAAAAAGCCTCTTGCCTTTCTATATTTGCTATACTTGTATTGACTTTTTTGTTCATGCTTTTAGGACTGTGTGCATGGAAAAGCTCTCCAAAGTGTTCTCAAACATATGTATAATTATTAATTAATATATGCACTCAGGTTGACTTGCCTGTTTTTTTTTTTAATAAACCCAACCTGAGCTAAGCTCTATGCTGCATTGTGCCCTAGAGGTATCTTGTGAATCATGACAAAATTTCTTTTGAGACATCTAAATCCATGAAGATTACTAATTTCATGATTATGGTAATTATCATTACAATGTAAAAATTAATATCTATGCAGCATTAGCAGAAAAAAATGTTGATCTAACTGAGCATTTTCCAGGCAAAGTGATGGTTGTTTCAGTGTCTATGTTTTGGTTTTGTAGATTTAAATGAAAGACAAGCAGCACCTTTTCCTGAGCTACTACTTAAGGTCAGTGAACCATTGCTGATCAGATGCAGAGCTGTTCACCAAAATTATAAATTCAGAATACAACTGTCTTTTGAAAACAGAGAAGTTGAGCAGGTAAAAATACAGGGCATATTCCAAAATAGGCTGTATTGGGCACTATCAACTGATTAAATGTGAATCTCTGTTGAAAACCAGGGCTGTCACTTTGAAGGATTAGAATATCAAGAAAACTTCTCAGCAATTCGGATCCAGTATGTGTTTGTTTCAGCAGCAGAAAAAAATTACAGTGGACATTACACCTGTTCTTCTACTGCTCATCCGAATCAAACTGCTTTGATCACAGTCCTAGGTAATTCCAATCCCTGGTGTTAATTTTGTCTCTCACCTGTTTTGCTTTGTTTTCCATGTGTCTGTTCTTTACTTGTAAATATGCAGTGTATGTTTGTAGCTCCCTTGCTAAGGAAAAAGTCTGTTTGCACTTACAAGCAATCCAGGAGAGCCAAGAGATTAATCTGAACTGAGTCATTCTGGTACCTGAATACAATTAACCTTTTTCTTTATATTGCTTTTAAAAGAATTCCCTTTAAAAGACAGTGCTTTTAGAGGTGAAATGAAATAGCACTGTTTAGAGATGCAGTCTGTATGACTGTTTCAATGGGGTCTCCTGGAAACACAGGCTGGAATTCACCCCACATGTTGGTGACTCTCAGCCAGTGTGCCAGAGAAACGTAATTTTTAAAAGCAAATCTCATTCTACTTAAGCAACATGCTGATTTGAAAGCCAGTGGTGTTGAATTTAGTTGAGAGCAGCCTCAACTGCAAACTTTGTTCCTCAGATGGAAATAATATACAAATAGGCCTAGGTCTGGAAATAAGGCATAAAAAGGAAAGCTGTAGGTAGGACCATGCTGCTGGAGTAGGTATGGGGGTATAATTTAATGGCTGGTGTGCTTGGAGCTGGAGCCTCTAGCCCTGAAAACAAGGCTCTCTGAAGCAGTCACCATATGTTTGACCTTAGATGTAGTTGCTCTCAGGATTTATGATTCCTAGTCTAGGTATGGTAGGAAGTGAGAATACTTACCCTAGTCTCTTCAAAAATGACTTTCCCATTGCAATATCCCCTTTTCAGCTTCTGCCTACCACTGAGCAGGAAGTCCTCTCATCATTTGCAGTAACTGAGTATGATACCTGTGCATTTTTTCTACGCACATCTCCTTGGTAAACAGGAACATAGAGGTCAGAGTGTACTGTAGAGATAGGGCAAGATCCTCTTTTTCATCAGTAGCATATGTCAGAAATAGTGGCTTCTGGGATCTGTGAACTACCAGGTGTGAGCATGGGTGAAAGTCAGAGAGAATATTTGAGTTGCTGTCCCTAGAAGGCTGTATTTCTGAGCTGTATTTCTGAGGGTATTTTTTCACTGAATGCACCAACCTATATTGATTGTCTGTGCCCTCCTTAATACCCCTTCATCCCAACAAAACTTCTGAGGGTTCATTGTCTTTGCTGGTGAAAAAAATCAATTTGTTTACTTACATAGTGGATTAAAGCAGGTGATGTTGTCATACCAAGCTAAACAGCTGTGCTTCTCTCTCCAAGGTTCTACAGGAATATCCTGTGCTTCTGATCCATCCCATCATTTAGCCTAATGAGCTAATGATAATCACCATGGGTGTGAATTTATGCTAACAATGCAGATTCCATTTCCGCAGTGATACAGATACAAGATTTCATTTGGTTGCCCATGTGTTAGGGTAGCAGTTTCTGAAGCAATCAGTGTCCCACCTTTAAACTGTTATTGTGCATGATTCAACACCTGTAGCTTCACTGAGAATCATCATGGTGAAATTTATCCAAGAGAAAACTGATTTGGTTGGCACATATTCCATTGCCTGGGGAGCCTGGCTATCAGATCTGTATGGATGGGTGTCTTCAAATCTCTAATAATGCCTTCTAGCCAGACTGCTTTGATTTGCTCTTTGGTAATTGATGCCTCACCAATTTATCCTATTTTATGTGACTGTCAGGTCAGGCAAGGTGGTTAGGCCACTTCAAAGCACAACAGAGATCATGCCAACAGCTGCAACTGCAAGGCTCTTTGTTACTGCAGGCCTTACGTTCAGTTTCCACCAGCATTAAAAAAAGAATTTTTAGCACTACACAATCTTAGTTCAGTAATATGTAGGTTATTTTGCAGCACATTATATTAAAAGCAAAAAATACAGAAATATGAGGAACACAGACACTTATTCAGTCTTGAGGGTTTCATCTCACTTCTTTGTCATTGCTACGTGTAAATAGTCAAAAATACACTTAAGTCTGCCAAAAATAATAAACCAATCAATAATGTGCCATTTTCTTTCTTCTCCAAAAAAAAAAACCAAAACTTTTTTTCTCAGTTGTTTTCCAGAGAAATGGCATACACTGCTCCAAGGTCCTTATATGCTCTCTAGAGAAAGCCTTCACTCTTGGTTGGTTGTGTTGTTAATGGTACACTCAGAGATTAAATTCTGCCTGGAAGGATGAGGACCAAAAGATGAAGGTTCCATGTATAAAATCAATAGGCCTTTAATATCAAAAAATAGGAGAGTAGTCATGAAAGCAGTAGTTTCTTGTTTTGAAATACTAAAATGTTTGTGGTTTTGTGGGAGTTTCCAGGCAGTAAGTAGGCTAAGACAGATAAAACATGCCAAGCAGAATATAGGGTTACAATCAGAAGGAAAACACTCAAAAGGAAAAAACGGGGTCAGCAATATTTTTATGGTGTAGTTTTTCACCATGTAGCTGATTAAACATCACCACAAGTTTTCCAGAGGTTGTACAGTCCTTGGAGATACCCAGACCAACAGGACATGACTCTGAGCAACCTCACCTAGCTGGACCTGCTCTGGGCAGGAGTTTAACTTCATATCTCTTCCAGTGTATATGGTTCTGTGATCTTTACAGAGTTGATCCTAGCACCAGTGGTGTCTTTAGGACAGCCTCCCCCCACACGTCTGTTGTTCAGTCTCTTTGGGCAGGATTCATTCCAAGCCATGAGACATCCAGACCCAGCAACAACTTTGGCTCCTTCATCAGTCAGTGCCAAGAAACAGTATTTCCAGAAGCGGTGCAGTATATCATTGTCATCTTCTGCTTTAGGATGGGATATGTCTGAATATGTCTTTTTCATTCCACTGAGTTTATCAGACATCCAAACATGTAGCTTAGGTGGATCACAGAGCTTTTGATATCTCCACTAGGTGAAACAAATCCCACCCTAGCAGGAAAAATGCCAGCAGCACATGGTTCATGGACCCCTTCAAAACATTTTTCCATGTTGCTGTCATCTTGCATTAAGTATATTTAATTTAAATGAAGAAATAAAAGAGCAACTCATTTACAAAATCTTCAGTTTATTTCAAGGAAGGAGTAAGAACTATTGATTATGGTGGTGATGCCACTTGGTTTTGTTCCTGTAGAAAGAAAGCTAGGAACTGCAGCTCTTAACACCTGGGATACACACCCAAACCAAACTAAATAATTACATTATTGGCCCTGTGACTCTGTAGGTTAGACTGAAGAGAAATGTCAGACCATTTTGGAAGTGCTCTGATCTGACCAAATATACAACTTCGTCAGGCTCGAATCATTTGTCTGCAACGAACACAGTGACAATATTTCAGTGCTATTTTGAAGCATTATCTTATTTTGATTAAAATGATACCTTTTGTGATGTAACATGGGTTTTGTTTGTGATAACCAAAATGAAAAACATACAGATAAAATGTCTTCATTAAAGTCCAGCCTTTCTAAGACATCTTTTCTTTCATTTTTTTTTTCTCCAGAAAAGGGATTTATAAATATAACTGATTCTAAAGAAGATTTTGAAATTGGTGAAGAAGAGTTTTGCTTTGAAGTCAACTTTACAGCATATCCTCCAGTTAGATGCATGTGGCTATATTCCAATAGAACATTTCCATGTATACAAAGTTACAGTGTGGGTGGACACAGGTATTTGAATATTTTATAATAATTTAATAAAATAATGTTTGTTCTTTATATCTCATTTGGACCGTTTACTGTTGACGTTTTGTACTATTTTTGGTTTTTAAAATATGAATGGGCCACATGGTGAGACTATTAACAAAAGTCACGCAAACGTAATTTTGACTTTGAACAGCAGTTCACAGACAACTTGTAGAATCACTTTATTCTCTGCTTATAATAAACCCTTTGCTAAGTTAGGCATCCAGCAACCCTTTAGATAATATGCATGTTGCCATTCCCCTTCTCTGTAACATAAGTTCTGAGTTACAGATCTGTTGCAGTTTTCATTCTGGATCACAGGTTCTGCACGTTCCCATTTTCTCATCCTGCTGTTGATGATGTTCCCAGTGTCTTTCAAAGAGCTCAGACCAAGTTCAGGGTGCTGTAGTTCCCAGGCCTCTGCTAGGTCTGCTGGCCTGTGCCTGTGTCACAGAAACACGTCGTTCTGCTCGTTACCCAGGTCATGGATTCTTCCGCTGCTGCAGCAAAACATGTTTTGAATAAACCTGTTGGTTATCTACCTTTTCTGTTATTTCCTACAATGGACTTCTGGCATGAATCCTGTTTAAGGCTAATGTTTTCTCCATTCCCTAGGCTCTCTAATTTCTTGATAACATTATCTAATTTCCTTCAGGGTTTCTTTCAGAGTAGTCCCATGGCTGTGCAGGTAACAGCTTTTACTCACCTCAATGAAAGTAAAGCCAAGCTGCTCTTTTCAAGTTTTTACATTAAAAGTGATTTACTGTAAAGTTTTTACAGTAAAAGTCCAGGCTGTAGGCAGGAGCTAATGCAGCTGTTCTGATTCCTTCTCATATTCTTAAAACTTCTGTCATCATCTGCATAAAGCTATGCCAAACATTGATTACACTTTTTATTATTTCTTTACATAGTATTTTGGTACCTTTGTGTAGTATCCCATGCACTCTCCCACTAGCTTGTCAAGTTATCTTTGCAACAGACTAGGCTTTTCATCTGCTTCAGATTGTGTATTGGAGTCAGACCTCAGTGAAGTTCAGAGACAGCTCAGTTCAGGTTAGCAAATTGTCATCTCCTGGCAATGGCCACAGGAACTCTGTCCCTGCTGATAAAGTGAGGGCTGTCAGCAAACTTTGATAGCACTGGGTGGGTGTTGGTGACTAATCCGCAATGCCTGACACGGGCTTGGCAGAACTGTGCTTTGTGACAAGACTGATTTTGGAAATGAAGTCTCAGGGGACAGCCACAAGCATTTGCTCATCTTTGACCAATAGGTACCTCCCTGCAGCTGATAACACGGAGTTGATTTGCTTTGCAGCCAATACACACCCCTCCTCACTGCTTGTACCAGCAGGATTCATCCAGTCCAAATCATCCAGTTTTGCTTGGATGATTGGCAGTGGGTGTAAATTCAGTCCAGATAAGAATTAGGTGCTACAAGCTGTGCCAACAATAATTATATTGAGAACTTCTGAAATAGTTTAGGCAACTGTCATTAAGTGAGGTGCAACTGCTGGCCTGGGATTTATGAGTCACTTCAGAGGCATTGCAGCAAAAAGCAGCAGCTGCTGAGCGCTGATCACCCCCTGCCGGACAGGGGAAAGGCCAGCTTGTGTCCCTGGAGCCGTGCCCCGGCTGGCTCAGCCACAGGCACAAGCCACGGCCACCGAGCATTGCTGGGGCATGGCCTTGCGGCTTCTTCAAACAGATAACTCGGCCATTTGTCTGGCGGTGCTGTTGGACAAATAGGATTTTTTATGTTTATTTTGAGTAGTTGTTCTTTGCATTTATTTGCATCCTATTTATTCTATGGAAAAATAAAATAGAGGGGAAAACGCTTGAGTTTGCTGATTATTTCATCTGACAAGTACATTCTTTTATACAGACATCCCTCACAACGATCCAATTTTGTCTGAATACAAGCACTGGATAGACAAGTCTCACCTGAGGACAAAGAGTAGGGGTACATATTTCATTCTGTTTGAAGCACGCAGAAGCAGCAAGGGGTAGGGAGGTCAGGAGATTCTGCAAGCGGTAGCCTTGCAGATTTCAATGTGATTTTAAAGCAGAAAGTTTCTCAAAGCAACACAAAAAAGGTCATCACATATCTAAACACATTGTGAGTCTCGCTTTGCCTGTTCTAGTTGATTTCTGTGTAATCCTGTATCCCAGCACTTCTACTTTGTTCCTTTCATATCCTTTTTCATTTCCTGTTTTTATTCTTTTAATTTCTGCCAGTCTCTTGTAAAATTATTCCTTCACATTAAAGATAATATTAAATTTTAATAATTAACTCTATTTTTCTTCATCTTTGCATTTCAAAACCCAGTGATCCATCTCTCCTGTCACTATGCTTACAGTATATTTTCAGACATTCCTTCAGAATTTCCATGTCCTATTTGTTTTTGTGGGCTCTCTGTTTCAGCACACTGCTGATTTTCACTTCCCCCTTAAGAACTAATGACTTTTCATATACACAATGTCTTCTGTTAAATTTGTAATACTTAGCTCACATTCTGTTATATTGTCAGGTATTGAAGATACTGTGTTAATTTTTCTTTTCTGATTATTTCATTAGGATATAATCCTTCTAACCTGGGATTTCAAAAGCAACTAATTATTTTTTGTTTGGTCCTTTTTTTTTTTTTCCCTGTCTTCAGTATCTTTTTTTAGGCAGCTTTAAAGGGTTCTGACTTTAAAAAATCGATGAGTTCGGTGACATTGTTAAAGCCATTTCAGATGAAGACATTCAAAAGTCAATAACTATATGAAAATGTGGCCTTAGTTAAAACACAAAATTGCTTCAAGGGGAGTTTTCCTGGTTTAGAGTTTGGAGGTGATAGTTGGTGCCTTTGTTTGTATCTCGCTTAAGGAGAAATATCCCAATTTCAGTTCTCTAGATTGATCTCATTACTGCTTTCTCCTACTTAGAATATTGCTGTTATGGGCTATCTGGCTTTTTTTCTTTTCTTCTCTCTTCAAACTCTCTAGTGTTCCTGCTTGCCTCTATCACTAAAACAGAGTTGGGGACCTACAGCATGGTTACCATTGAGTTGTCAGCAAAAGTATCTAACCCCAAATTGTCAGCAACTACACTCAAGAGAGATTTTCTTAGCTTGCTCTTCTAATGCTCATGAACTTCATTATCTGCTATTCAAAGCTGACAATTGTCCTGACAGCAATAGCCTAGTTGAAAACACAGAAATAGAATACCATCACTGCAAAATGGCATATGCCCTTCTCCCTGCCTTATACCGTGTCCCATAAACCAGTGACACAACAGGACAGTCTGGCATGAATCTTTAAGTCTCTGCAGCTCTTTGTTCTTAGTTTCTGCCCAGAGACTTGTTAGAGCTCTCCTGGCCATCTCGACTGTCACGAGCTGTCTCCTGCATTGTTTGGGTCTTGGTTTTCTGCCATCCACTGGCTCAAAGGCCAGAGGCATTAGTAAAAGGCTGTTTTTTTCCTGCAGAATGACATTGAGGGCTGGTGTTTCATCTGATTGACAATGAATTTACAGTGATGATCACTTTCCTGAGCCTATGTGAGATCTTTCCATTTGGAGATGTTTGTCTCTTAATTTCCTCCCTGTCGTCGTTTCCTAACACAATCTATCACATCAGCTGGAAGCTCCCATCAAAGTTCCTCAGAGAGAAGAAAGTTTGATCCTTTGCTGGTCTTAGCAGATGTGCCTGGGTGTGTCTTGTCGTCCAATGAATTAGTAACAAAATCACAGCTTGACAGCCTGTGTGCACTCCAGGAAGAGTGAGAGAAAAAATGCAGAATTAAATCAATACTGCAGGGGAAAAAAATATCTTCTCAGCAGAACTGTTAGATTCTGGGATTTATATTCTCTAAGCAAAAATAATTTCCTTTGTATTCTTCATTAGAAGATGCAGAATTGTTTCAAACCTATATGTGAGTCTTGACTGCATCTGAAATATTTTTCAAGTCAGTATTTTGTCCTTTTCCCTTTTTTGACTTTGTTCCACAGCATTTCATCGAAGTTCTGCAACCATCAGCACCAGTCTGGGATATATGTATTTTATGCTGAAAATGATGATGCAGTTGCAACAAAAAAATTCACTCTATATGTGAGAAGTAAGTAATAAAACTATTGCTGATGATTTGGTAAAATCTGGGATTTTGTCACTGGTATAAATTGAGCTATTATGGTTTTCTTCATTGGTATTCACTATTTAATTTACATTGATTTATTGTTTAAAATGAAAGATCAAAAGGCAAAAACATAATTCTCTTCACACTGCATCACACTGCTGAAAGCCAGGCACTGGGTCAGAGAAAGACGCTGGATGTTTGTGGGTTGTATTTCTTGTGTCAGTTAGGGATGGAGAACAGAGAAAGAAGGAGAAGGTTATTAGGTTTTTTTCTTCCCTTTAGTCTACCATAAACAGAATATGAGGAATCAGTTGCATACTGAGAAAAATGAATGCTTCTTAAGAAAATTACAAGCTTAGGATCTCAGTAAAGTACAGTAACTCTCTTCTATCTCTAAAAAACTGGAACATGGGACTGCTGCAGAAACCACATGAGATACAGACTTGGGAGGAAACCCTTATCCCTATAAGGAATTAGCTTTCTATGCCATGTTTATGATATTTTTCCCCTAATGGCATTTATGAGTTAATGTAGTTAGTGTGGACACCCTCTGGTGTGTAACTTGAATGTTTGGGCTGCAGTGCCTCATACACCCCTGCCCACAATTCACATACATGCAGTCTTCACCAATGCTCTCAGTTATCTCAGCTCTGCCACATGACTGCAGCATCTCTCCCTTGCTCCAGGTCTGGAGCCTTTATTTTGATATAGAATTTATACAAGGGTCTTCTGTGCACATTTTGTATGAGTTGGCCACCCAGAACCTCAGTGCCAGGGCAGTTGTAGGGCCAGCTGCTTAGTCCAAGTCAGAAAAGCAGAAGTCAAGACTTCTAATTTTGGCTCTGCCATTGTTTTGGTCTGGCTCTGCCCATACAGAGAAGTGGCTGCTCCCCTTGCCTTGCCACACTGCCATCCACAAAACACAGGAAGGAGGAGGACTGTGAGTTGCACCCAACTGTCACTGGGACATGCAGTTTTTATTTTGAAAACAGAAGCAGATCTTGGTCTCAACAGATATAACATTGCCACCTAAGTGTACAGGGTTTTGTCACTTGAAGTACTGACAGAAATTGTCTTATAGAATCACGGAATTATTTAGGTTGAAAAAGATCTTTGAGAACATAGAATCCAGCCATTAACCCAGCACTCCCAAATATACCACTAAGCCATGTCCTTAAGCCTTGTGTTGTCTTATTGCAGGAAAGCCTGAAATAAGGATGCAGTTGTTGTTCAAGCAGATCTCCTGTGTTGCTGAAGGCTACCCTGCCTCATCCTGGGTTTGGAGGAACTGTCTTGAACTGAATTCATCCAAGTAAATAACTTTCTTTCTTTTTATTCATTGCAAACACTAGCTGAGCTATTTTTGATCAAATGAAGACAAGCCCATAGCAATCTAAATGTAAAATGTACATTTAACTGTGTGCATTTAACTGGTTGCCCTACTCCAGAGGAACAAGATCATCAAAATTAGGAGAAGTCTATAAAGATGTGTATCTTGGGCTCTTTACACCAAAATAAACCCTGCTGGGTTTATATCAACAGTTAAGTTGTAATGAAGTCCAATCTAAGTTTTTCTCGCCGCCTATCAAAGTTATAGGGATTCAGGGAATGCATTGGTTAATACAGGCTTGATTAATTGGTTAAGCTTTGGTTAAAAGACATGCTATGGTGACCTGTTACCAAAACCACTAAAGTCAGTGAGAGTGTTTCCAGTGAAGTTAGTGAGCATATTTCCAGTAATGTTAGTAAGAGTGTCTCCATTTCCTCTATTTATTTAGGGGAATGAATCAGGCTCTAAAATTTCAAAAAATGCTGAAACAGCTTTGACCTGATTTGTGAACTCTGCAATTTTTATTTTAGATATTCCAAGAAACTAATAATCCCATGGTGCAAAAGAATACTAAGTCAAATTTTCCTTTGTAAGATTGTGGATAAACTCTAAAGTATTTATTTTAGCTAGACATAAAAAAATACCTAGACAATTTTCTTATCCATACCTCTTAAAAGGCTTCCTTATATCAATCTGTGCGGAAATAGAAGAGGAAATAAACCTTGAAGAGAATGGGTTTAAAATACTCCTTAAATCATCTTTCTGGGAAGAAAATGCTGTGACATTTCTTTTCTGAGGAGCTTTTAAATGTACAAGCTAGTGCTATGAGTAGAGCTGAATAAATTTATTTCTTATCTCCTAATTTATTTATGTGGGGATAAAATTAGACAGTAAATTGATAAATTATATAAAAGCTAGAAGTCAAAATTATCTATGTGGACTACCTTTCACTCAATTGTCAAGTTCCCTCTTTCTACATATCAGGCCTTAAATAAATCATTAATGGATGGATGGAGGCTCTCCATCTTGAGTGAGAGAAATTTCATGTGTGAAATTACATGCCTTCAGGGAAAGGAGCTAGAACTTCTACTCTGTTCATATTATGTTTATCGTTTTAGCAGTGGCTCATTTGCAGCTGCTCAGGGGTTTGAATGTTTTGAGGCAAATATGAAACCAGTGGGAGTAGATGAGGTGCAGGGGGGTTGTGTCAGCTGTGAAATCAATGGAGGTTCCAGAGTTCAGGGGGGTGCAAGTACTCTGCCAAGGCAGCAGTGGAGAGTGGCAGTGAGCCCAGTGTAGGAGGCAGCTCAGTCCCTGCTAACCCTGCCATGTCCTTCACCAAAAATGAGACTGCTAAGTGACTCACTCTATTGCTGACAAAACCCAAGCTCCATCCCTTCTTCTCTACCAACACAGACATAAGACATGTTTTGAAACTTCCCACCTTCTCCCCTGGCAAATGTCACTGTGAGCTAAAAATCAAAACTGGTCTGCTTCCTTTTTCAGCTGCGCAGAGGAAATCACAGAGGGGATTCAGAACTTCTTGCCAGAGAGGAGATCCCTGGGGTCATGGATTTCAAGCAGTACTTTACATGTAAAGGAGACAGCAACAACCTTCTCTGTGGAGTGCTGTGCAAATAATTCAGCTGGTTCAGCCTGTGAAAAGCGTTTCATTAACCTGTCAGGTACCACAAGCCAGTGTTTTAGCACAGGTTTTCTCAGCTAAAGCTGGCATGGTAGAACCTACAATACTTTTTATTTGGATAAATGGCAGTCATAGTTTTAACATGTTAACCCTGTCAGTGCTTCAATCCTCCCTAAAATAAAAGAAAATAACAAAATACAAACATGTAAAAAAACAACATAAAAACATCAAAGTCAGTAAAGAAAAAGTTAAGTCCTAGATAAGAGGGAGGAGGAGATACCTTGTTTTTAGAGCTGAAATATTCTTATAAGCTATTTTTAAAAGACTCTTTTTCCTTGTAACCCATAAAACTATAAAACAATAAAAGTATTCAAATTAATATCAAGTAAAAGCCTCCATATTAAAATAAGCAAATGTTAAAATAGCTATGATCCCATAAAAAGTTTAAACAGAAGAAGAAAAAGGAGTAATCCTATACTTCCAAAATAAATCTCCATTCCCAGAGATGAAGGTGATTTAAAAAAAAAATAAGTACTTTTGCTTTTAAACAGCTCATCTTTAAAACAATACCCCATAAGTCAACATAGCTCATCAACAAGCTGTAAAAAAGCTTGTAAACAAACTAAAAAAAAAATTCAGAAGTGGTAAACTGACTGACTAAAACTTTTAAATTTTGTTTCTTTACATTGTCTGTAAAAAAGAAAAACCTATAAGAAAAAAGGGTCTTCTAAAGAGTTTGCTTTGGTTTTTTTTCCCCCTCTTTTTCCTTTAGTTACCTTTAGTAAAATTTTCTTTATACCCTTTAACGTCTTAAACCTACTTTACCTTTCTCCTAATCCTATTGCACAACAAAAAATAAGTACATTAGTAATTAACCTACACTAAAACCCACCATACTCATTAATGCAGTAGTTTAAAAAATGTCAAAATTTAAAAAATCTAAAATTAACAAATCAAAACCACTACAATGGCTGACTGTGCAATGGCATTGCAGATAAAACACAAGCTCTGTATGTACATAGTATCAGAAATGGTGGGTGAATGGGAGACAAAATTCTCTTTTCTCTAGGCCCAAAGAAGAGGCCTCCCTCATTAAAATAAACAGAAAAAAAAAAAATAGGAAGTGCAGGATGGAGACATGGCAATGTTTGAGGCTGATTTCTTATTTTACTTTTGTCATCCCTACATGAAATCTAGAAGAATCATCTTTGGCAAGAGCCAAAGGCACTTTGGTAGCTGGTGGCATGTGCTGTCCCTTGCTGCTTTCCTGTAGGTCCCTGTGGTGTTCCAGAAATGCCCATGGGAGCTCTCCTCACATTGCACACCCAAGCAAGATCATGGCTGAGCCAACAGACCCACTGAAGGGTCAGTCCCTGTCTGGAAAGCAGGAGTACTGTGAAAGAGACCTTAAACTGCCCTAGGCAGGCGACAGACTCCTGGTTAAGTAGTCTCTCTTCTTGTCGAGGGAATCACAGATTGTTTCCTCATTGAACCAGAAAGTCAGTATGATTATCTGCACCTTGTACTTGTAACACCATGTGTATTCCATAGAGAAAAATATTTCAATTAGAGGGAACATGCTGTGGCACCAGCAATTATTTTGAAACACCCAGGTATTTGCAGTACAGGGATTTCCTTTGTCATGATGAACAAGCAGTTTGGTGCTTTTGTCTTCAGTGGACAGAAGCTGTGACCACTGTCAGAATTTGAGCATTCATGTTGAAATTAGAATCGAAAGTAATCATAATACTTATGCTTTTAGAAACAACTAAAATAGGAAGGTAGGTCTCATGTTTGCATGTTCATCTGCCAATCAACACCTTATTCCTGTTTATGCTCACTAAGTTCAATCCAAGGATCACAGCAACACCTCCAGTTTATTAATGGATTTAGCTCTCTTTTTTTTCTTTTATTTTTTTAATGAAAACAGATGTCAGAATTACCCAGAAATTAACGTCTACTGCCCATCTTGCTTTGCATACGGCTGAATCTCACTCCCATGCAGAGGAGGCTCGGGTGTGAGAGGGCTGCAGATTGCCAGAACTGACCATAGGTTCTTCTTGCATTTTCACCTGTACACACAAACTCTGTTTCAGTGGGTAGTAATATGTGCCTTTTAAAGTTGCAGGAGCTGTTTCTTCCCCCCTGGACAATGCTGCGTTCTATGTCTCCGTTGGATTTTTTCTCCTCTTGATCACTTTTGTGCTTGTCTTCTTTTTTCTAAAATACAAAAAGGTAAAAGCAAACATAAATACCTGACCATCCTTCTTTTTTTCCTACTAGGCTGTTTCTTCTGTAAGACTTATTTTATGCTGTGTTTTTTTTTTTCTTCCAAAGCAATTTAAATATGAAAGCCAGTGGCAAATGATACAGATGATAGGGCCATCAGATAATGAATACATCTACATCGACTTCAGAGAATTTGAATATGATATAAAATGGGAATTTCCCAGGGAAAATCTGGAATTTGGTGAGCAATCCATAAGGTAAATCTCAATACTGGGGCAGTAGTCTGTGCTATACCAGCAGCAAATAATACTGGCATTTTGTGTCTTGTAGGACAGGTTCTTGGTTCTGGGGCCTTTGGGAAAGTAGTGACTGCAACAGCTTATGGAATTAACAATGCAGGAGATTCAGTCCAGGTCGCAGTCAAAATGCTAAAAGGTATGATAAACTCTGGTGCCTTCCACAAGCAGTGATGTATTCTAGTATCCCCAAAGTAGAAGAGGCATTAGAAATCCCCCTTATACAGAAAACTTTCATCAGTTACACCTCACAAATGCTTGGCTTCAAAATCCTTTCAAAGTGCTTTCAAAACCCTGTTTCAGTTTGGAAAGGTATTGTTGAAGTGCATTTTGTCCCACACACTGCAGAAGGTCTGTGTTTTGTGGAGAAGTATGGAGCTTCTAAAGGGGATAAATGCAAACCCCCAGTGCAGATTATCCTACTGGTTATATTGGTGATATGACCTTTGGCGTAAGGCCTCTTTTTCTTGTAATGCTGCCTAGCTGTGCCAAGACCTTTGCCTGCTGTGTCTGAGCTAGCTTGTTTCCAAAACTTTCAGCACAACTTCCTGTAGTCCTTTTTCTTGATGATGACACAAAAGAGTTTCTTTCCATCCCTCTTTATGAATAAGGATACCAAACCTCAAACAGTCCTTCCTGCTATGATCAGGCCTTTCTCCAATATGTCTTGACTCCTCACAAAAGCAGTGTCCAGGACTGAGCCTCCCTGGCAGCAAGCAGAGGAGGGCTCACTGTGTCCCAGCTGATCTGTCCCTGTTCACAGAATGTTGGTACTTTACACTGGAATAGATCCCTAGGATCACTGTTAGCCATCACTGTCAAGTCCACCACTACACCATGTCCCTCAGTGACACATCTTTTAAATACATTCAGGGATGGTGACTCAACCACTTCCCTGGGCAGCCTGCTCCAGTGCTTGACAACCCTTTTGGTGAAGACATTTTTCTGAATATCCAATCTAATCCTCCCCTGGCACAAATTGAATCATTTTGTCTCCTTGAGGAAATGCTTCTCCTTTGACTTGTTACTTGGGAAAAGAGACTGGTATCCACCTCGCCCACCTTTTTATATATATTAGAATGAGCTTCACACTGATACCAGCAACCTGTCCACCTGTGTGCCCACACAGCCCCTTCCTGCCTGCACTGCCATTCAGGTTTTCATCCCCCATTTCCACAAAAGCATCAGTTTTATGCTTCCTTGTTCCAGTCCTTTGTGGTTGTCTTTGTGGAAGCTCGACTTGATCATTTTGGTTCACATACCCAATTCACTGAAATCATGAGCAGCAAACTCAAACTGAAAAACAAGACTAAAGCTGTTACTGAAACATAGGGTGGCCTTTTCAGCTGCTGGATTGCAGCTGCTTGTTTGCTATATGGCTGCCATTTTCCTCTCTTAACATTTCTCTGCAACAGGCTTGTCTGCCATTTTTTCTGTGCCTGGGAACATTTTAATTTATTGCCGTCATTCCTTGCCAGCCCGAGAATGACAAATGTTGACATTTAATGACTGCTTTCCAAGCTTGCAAATGATCTGCACTCACACTCAAATTTAGTTTCCACCTTTGACTTAATCTTTTTATACTTTGGAAAGGTTTTTTTTAGGATGTTCCCAAATGTACTGTCCAATGAATTTCAAATGAAGATTTGCACATGACAAAGCATCCAATGAATTTGAAATTAATTTTAAATGAAGATTTGCATATCACAAAGCATCACAACCATTTAAATTTTCATTTCTTTGCCAGAGATTTCCAAATTTGTGTTATTACTTTCACAGAAAAACCTGATACTGCAGAAGAAGATGCTCTAATGTCTGAGCTGAAAATGATGACTCATATTGGAAGCCATGAAAATATTGTGAACCTACTAGGAGCTTGTACTCTGTCAGGTAAATAGAAATTGTGGAAAAGTACCAATTAAAACCACCAGAATAATGAGGACTAATTTTTCTGTTCTGTGATAGCCCAAAATAAGATGAAGATGAACTGAAAGCAAATTTAAGGCCATGCACGTGTACAGAAAAGGTAATTTCTGATTATACTGGCAGGAAGTGATACAACACTTCTGCAGAATAAGATTTCCTGTTATGGTGGTGATGGCACTGGTACGAGCCAGTTTATTAAGTGAAAAGGAAAAACTTATCTGGTGCCAGGGACATTTGTATACACATGATTATGTTCACATAGGATTTTTTTTTTTTTTAATTCATGTGGCTCGCAAATGAATGGATAAAAATATAGACAGGAAACAAAAGAGATTGAAAAATAACAGGGGTAGGAGGGACATCAAAAAAAGAAATGAGAGAAGTAAATCATGGAAAAAGTGACAACCTTTCAAAGGACCACATGTAAAAACAAAACTGAAGAATGAAAAAAATAAGCAAGGGTGGGCTAAGATGAAAGTAGTGAGATATCATCACTGATTAATTATTGTGTGGCTCATGTCATCACTGAGGTAATTTACACAGCTATTCTTGTCCAAAGAACTGCTTCTCTGGCCAGTTCAATGGTGAACAACAGTGGGGAAAGAGAAGGTAAAGAACAGATCAGTTTGGCGAAATGCCAGGGTTTCACCCAGTATAGGTCTGTATCATGAACTGTAACAACTGACACTGAAAAGCTTGACAGATTTTCCATCATGGTTATTTATTTAGTCAGAAAGACCAAGCAGAGCAGTCAACTTTTTTTTCCTCAGTTCACATCAGCGGCAGTACTGTCAGGCACAGACATGTGAGGAGTAAGAGGAAAGCAGAGAAATAGATTGTTCTTAGTAGCTTCAGCTGATTTAAAAATACTGCCACTGCCTTCTGGAACAGTAGGCAGGATGTGATGGTGTAGGCAGGAAAGCTGCAGGAAGACCTGCTTAGTCTGGTAGGGTAGGGCAGGAACACTGCCAGCCTTATCCAAGTGCCATTTTCAGAGCATGGCTCTCAAGGCTTTCCCATCCATCCTCTGAGAGACTTTACAGCTTTTTCCAGTGTGCCCTACCTTGCTTGACAGTGGCCTTGTGACAGAAATATCCACAGATTCATGGTCAGTCTTTCTGGGCCAGAAGTGGTGGTGGCAGTGTGAAGTTTCGCAGGGCGATGTGTGACCACTCTGAGCTCCTGCTGGCTGGTCATGGTTTTTATCCAAGCCTGCCTGGGTCAGGAATTGGATGTACTTTTCCTTTCTTGAGAAAGTGTCCTGATCAGTGCTCTACCTAGACACCTCCCCTTGAAAGGGCTATCCGTCATTAAGGTCCCCTCAGCAAATACTTTTGGGTTTCAGGTGGTCTTCTTGGGGAAAAATAAAAAGGATCTTTCCAGAGCATGAAGTTGCACAGATAGATGGAAGAATGTACATTATAGGATGCAAATGCACACTATCCAGATAATTAGCAGGAGTCATCTTTTGCTTGAACCCTGCATGGTTTAGAAAATATGCTGCATCCTTATAGTCTGTACTGTCCTCCACAATGCCATTGGGACAGGCAAGGATTTTTGTTTCTATAAGGAGTTTTCAATACTTTGAGAGATGCACCACAAGGACAAAGTCACACAGACTATAAGGGACATTATAGTCAGTAAACAAACTCTCATGACTCACCTATCAGTACAGCTTATCTACCTGGGAATGGAAAATTTGGGATGTTTTAATACAAATTAATCCTGAGAGAAAATGAAGCAGCATTAGGGCTTTAATGGGGAGGGTTCTATAAATAGCAGCAGGCATTTACATTTCCAACTATTTCAGGACCAATCTACTTGATATTTGAATACTGTTGCTATGGTGACCTTCTGAACTACTTAAGGAGCAAGAGAGAAAAGTTTCACTGGACACTGACAGATATTTTTAAACAGCAAAACTTCAGCTTTTACCACAATATCCATCAGGACCAAAACTCTAGGTAAAGATTTAGTACCAGTTTGATACTTTTAAAAACTGCTATTGCTTTTTAAGCTGCATTCTCACCTATGCTGTTCACTGGTGAAATTATTGAATTCTTGAGAATGTGCCTTCACATACTTGAATAAGCAGTGCCTTGGGAGGAACTGAGATTTGATTCTCCTTATGGAGACTGCAAAAAACAAACAACTTCTTGTTTCTCTTCCTGGTTTCGAGAAGAGTCATGTCTGTGTCCAGATTTTTCGTAGTAGTAACTGTTCATGTTTTTCACTGCAAAAGAGTTTATGTGCAGAAGATTATGTGATGCACTGTGTGAAACCTTTGAAAATGTGTTGCCTACTCCAGGACAGGGACTCACCTGAAGTACAGTGTGAACACAGCTCTCTGCAGAGAGGATGAATGTGAAACCATGCAAAGAAGCCAAAACATAAATGTGACACTGGGATCAAATGGGATTGTGCTGTTTTCTGAGGAAGGTAAGAGATTAATTGATTATATCTTCAGGAATGCTGTTATTATTGTATTTTTTCTATTATTAATACGACCAGATTTAGACTAAATTCCATTACAAAAAAGGTCTCTTTCTATCACATGTTTCTCTTCAGTCCTGGCAGGAATTTTGCTGGAGGAGGATTCAACAGCAGTTGAGATTAGAGAGCTTATGTTCCTGCTCATGCTAAAAGCATAGTACTTGAATACAAAAATACTCACCTTTATTTTGTATCTGAGTAAAGGATAAAAGAGAAGGATACTCTTTGTGATATTGTTCTTGGTAGAAGCCTGTGAAAATCCTTTACAACAGTGAGTGGAATTAATCAGAGTGAGGAAGTCCATGGAAAACTCATATTTTTTATTATTTTTTACAGGCAAAATTAAGGATGCAAGCACACCAATGGATGAAGAAGAGGACTTTAATGTGCTCACTTTTGAAGACCTTCTTTGCTTTTCTTTTCAAGTTGCCAAAGGAATGGAATTTCTTGAGTCCAAATCGGTATGGTGAAAGGTAGCAAATTTTTCAGATAGGTCAGTTCATAAAAGGCAGGTTAAGGAACAGAGCCACTCAGTGGCAAGCTGGAACTGTGCCTCCTTCCCTGGTTTAACAGCAAAGACTGGGTTGCAGTTTTAGGCATCACCCTGAGTAAGAAGCAACCACACGGCACATTTGTGCCTGCTCCAGCCTTGTCTCCTTGGCACCAGCAGCCAGGGAATGTCCAGCTTGGCCATTCACCAAACTGCTGAAGTGGAAGGAGGTGCCAGCTCAGAGGGCAGGGAATTGTCTACCACTGATACCAAATTCTTCAGAGTGTTAATCCTTCCTTTCCTTCTAAGTGCATTCACAGAGACCTCGCTGCCCGGAACATACTGGTGACCCATGGGAAAGTGGTGAAAATATGTGACTTTGGCCTTGCCAGAGATGTAATGAACGACTCCAACTACATCGTCAGGGGCAATGTAAGTTCATGAGAGCTCTCTGGTTTTCACAGCATTGTAAGAATTATAAGGAACTAAGAAAGAAAAGTTTTAAATCGTTTCATTCCTTGTTAGCTTTGTGCATATCTGTATAGACAATGTAGAAATCTCAGTTTTTCCTGCCTTTGGCAAAAGCAAATTCTTAGATTATAATTCAAATAATCAAGCTGGTTCTGTAAATGAGATGGTACCTATGTTCTTTCTAAAACACCCATTGATGGAAGCACTGGGAGTTGTTTACTGTTGTGGGCAGTAACAGTGTAAGACAACAGCCTGTGTGTGGGGATGTGCCAGAGCCTCTGGCTTCATGAAGAAGTACAATGTGGACATCTCCATCTGGGCCACTCTACGCTTGAAGTCAGAGGAAGGAAGGTGGCTCTTCCAGGACTGAGCTCATCTCTTCCTTAAGTAGTCATCTTAAATGGATGAGATGAACTCTCTGGCTCATTAGGAGTGTCTATTTCTCTCTGCAATGGGAATGTCCAGGGACTGCTGACAGAGACACAGCTTTGCACACAGCAAACATGAATTGACCATGCTGGCAGTGAGAAGCACAGTGAGTCACCAAGAAAGCCTGTGTCACAGATTGTGTCACAGCCTGAGCTGGCCTCCATCCCCCTGTCTGCACAGGCTCGACTGCCAGTCAAATGGATGGCTCCCGAAAGCTTGTTCGAGAGGACATACACCATGAAGAGCGATGTCTGGTCGTATGGAATACTGCTGTGGGAAATATTCTCCTTGGGTATGTTTTACAGTGGGACAAAAGAGCAGTGTTTGGTTTTGGCAGCTTCTGAATTAACACATATTCTCCGATAATTTCCACAGGTGTAAATCCTTACCCTGGTATTCAGGTTGACACAAATTTCTACAAATTAATACAGAGTGGATTTAAAATGGACCAACCATATTATGCTACAAAAGATGTGTAAGTGTATTTCCAAGTGATGCACAGCATGAGAATTTATACTTATTAGGTCACTGTTTGAATGACCTTTTATTATTATACACTATATCTTACATAAAATTAGTTGCAAAAATGAGATATGCCTCTAAATCTAATAAAGGCTGCCTGATTCTGCAGGTTTTGTTCTAAAGCAGAAATGATCAGCACTATAGTTATGTGTATTTGACATTACTAATTTATTAAAATTACTTAGTTGTGCCTTCTTTCCCCAGAGAACTTCTTGTTCTTTGACCACAGATTTTCGCCCCCTTTTTTTTTTCTTTTGGTTTTCTCTTTTTTCTTTACTTTCATTTTATTTTTTCCCCCAATAGCTATGTTTTTCCATATTGACTAAATTTTTGATGGGTTCTTTCCTAAACTTTTTTATTTAATTGAGCTTTGCCAGGTTTGGTTCAGTTCCAGGTGGCTAGGGACACTCTTAGATAAAAACCCTGCTAAGGAAGAGTTGGGGGGAAGCTAATTCTGTGCTTTCAGCACATCATTTTCAGCCTGTGCCTCTGTGCCTAGGTGGACTCTGCCTAGAGGTGGGCCCCAGGGAATAAGAGAAGAGAAGGTGACAGAATTATGAGATCTGGAACATGGAGGAAAGGGAAGGACTTTGGCTGGCTGAGCTCTTCTGGCAGACGTTTCATAGATTCTCTAGGGACAGGTGCCTTGCTATGACACTGCACTATTCTTATCCTCACCACATAAAGGCTGTAATGGCATTAAAAGTACTGGGGAATCTGACAGATTAATCCTTGAAAAATTGCTGGGGGCGGGGGGTGGTTAAATATCAGAGAGCTTATTGTCCCGGTAACTTTGCAAGGGACTTCAGCAGTCAGGCACTGCACTGACGCCAGATGAAGCTGCAATATTTCTAACATGATGTTTAAATTTCAGAAAGATTTTTGTGATGTCAAATTACATTAAAAGACTTGCTGTGTGAAAAGTTTACTTAAGATTACATTGTCCACAAGGAGCAGGTTTAGTCCCTATGACAGACAGGCATTGTCTTCCTAATATTTTTCTCAATGGAAGCTGGAAAACAAATATTATGTTATTATGTGTCATACCACAATGAAGGTATTATTAAGCACTCTGATTTAATCACTGTAATTTTATTTCACCCTTTATCCTTATTTTTCTGCTTCTTTTCCTCTGATGCAACACTGTAATTCTGGCCTCTTTCTATAAAATCATTCTGATTCCCATGATTCCCCATTAAAGTCCTGCAATTCCATATAGGCACTTGCAGAGAGTCCAAGAGCTAACATGATTTCTGTGCCATGCCTTTCCTTCTGCAGCTATTGCCTGATGAGGTCCTGTTGGGCTCTTGACTCCAGGAAAAGACCCTCTTTCTCTTACCTGGTTTCCTCTCTGGCCTGTCAGCTGGCTGAGGCAGAAGGAGCAGTAAGTAAATGCAGTGAGATGAACATGTGAACAATGTCTTGGTTTAGGTTTGGGTTTTTGTGGGGTTTATATGTAGCTCCACAGATCACGATGAGCTGAGGGATAGCCTCCTGCTTTCTCTAATTGAAATGCACAACTCTATTATGGGTACATTGCCCATGGATCCATTTAAGAGCTTGGGGCATATTTTTCTGCCGTCAGAAAGAATCCTGACCTTCCTGATGAGGATTTTCTTCCTCCCACTGCCTGCACTGGGACTCTGGAAAGCTGAAGTCTCTCAGGCTGTGCTGAGGGAATGTGCTTCCCTTGTGCAGCAGCCAGTGCAGTCAGCTTTGGTGATGCTGATAGCTGCCATGGGAGGGGACCTGAGACTGTGCCTGGGGCATGGGTCTCATGAGGGATCACCATGCCAAGTCGTCACAATGTTGTGTGTCGTTCTTAAAGGTCAAAATAATAAAGATGACCTGAGGAAGTCCTGTTCTATCCATACCAGATGATTATCTCCTCTTCAGAGAGCATAAACAATTCCTCTTTATATTACCAATTGCTACTTGGGCATCCACTCTGGACTAAACACACTATTTCTCAGTGCCTGCTTCATGGGGAGAAAAGCAGTTTTCCAAATACAATAAATAATAACAGAAGATAACTTTTATTTCCTCTTCCCAATTCTAGGTTTACCATAATACAAAGAAAAGCCTTGATACACACCATTCCAGCATCAAAACTAAACCTCGTGTAAGCAGGGATGAGGAATCTTTGCTGTCCTCAGTTGTGCTCCAGCATGAAGACCCTCAAGTTGAAAAATAATCTGGGTTGTGGATTTGGTCTCAGTATTGTCATACACTCTGTGTAAGATAAGTGCCTTATATCATCTCCAAGAGAAGAAATTGTTACCAACTGCTGCACTGTGTATTTCTTGTGGGCCAGTCAGTACATATGTGACTTTTTGAGAGAAAGGTAATTCATTTGTTTGAGTTCAGCAAACACATCTGTAGCGAGACAGGGTTTTTTGCAGCCACTCTGCAACTGAGTGCCTCTTTTCCTGGTGTTATGCAAACAGTGCCAAATCAACGTATTGAATTCATATTGTTCTTGCCACATTGCAAGCAAACATGAGAGAATCTACTTTTTTTTTTAGTCAATGTTTACAAGCATCAACTATGCAGCTAAAGAGAGCTGGTATGATTTCCAGAAGTGTTTTTCACATCTTCATGTCCAGATGTCAGGGAGTGTTGGGGGGAAAAACGCCAGAGGAGTCCCAATTTTAGATGTCCAAATTTTACAGTTCCATCAGTCTTCTTTTACAAGGAGCTCTTAATTTCATTGAGTGTAACTTTCTTACCCTGGACATCTCTGTGCTTGTGAAGTATGGGCGGTGGGTGTTCAGTTCAGATGAGTTCATTTTATCACAATTTAGTTACTCATGTGGCCTCTACTCAGCCAAGTTACATTCTGAATCTGCTGATCAGAGATAGACACTCACAGGAGGGATTCCTTTCTACCTAAAATAAGCATCAAAAGTAACCAGGAAGAGTGATATTCAGAGATAACCTTCTACCTCCCTGGTTTGGAAAATCCAGGTGGCAGTCTCCAGCTGTGAGTCGTACTTCAGCTGAATTACAGCTAATGCCATCCATGAGAATGTGAATTCCATTCATGGGAATTTTGTGTTTCAATAGCAAAAAAAAAAGTTTAATTTTGAAGAGATTGCATTCTGTAATTTGGGAGTGTACTATCATCACTCCAAATCCACAGAATTCAGCCTGGGTGTATGAACACTGCTGCACGAAAATGAAGGTATGCCTCTTTAACTTTCTGACAGATTCCCGGGAAAATACCTAGAGGCTTGATTCATTTTCAGTATACTTAAAAAGACAGCTATTTTCACTATGAGGTTTAGGAATTTCTAAATGCAACTTTCATCATGACTAATACGATACATTTGTCTACATCACAGTGGATCAAGATGAAAATATATTGATTAATAGTTTTTTTCTCTTTTACATTTTACAAGGTGCTAAGTTCAGTTAGGATTTTTCAGAGACAAGTCTTATAAAATAGTAACTTGCATGTAATATGCTATTATAAAAATTGAGCTGCTCTTTACTAACACTGTCCGAAAATAATGTTGTAATACAGTGATTATGATTTGTATATTTTTGTTGATGTTATTAACAATTATCAATTAATCGTCAATTTTTTAAATCAGATACAAACCACTGAAGAGCAATTCGGAGATATTTAGACAGAAATAAATTTTAATGTCATGTTCTCTGGAAAATGTATATTATTTTTAACATACCCATAATGGTTTGAAAGTGTTCCTCTGCAAGATGTTTAGCAGTGATAGCACACAGCCTGCAGTGGCTGGACAGTATGAGTTAAGCATCTTGTGAATGCAGGAGTTCTCAGCCTTCAAATTTAGAGAAACCTAATGCTGAATTGGTCACTTGCAAGCCTGGATGGCCCTAGAAACTAAGCAGATGTGAACTTGGCTCAAAGAGGAGCAGATGGGAATCCCATGTACTTAAAAACATGCCAGGAAGTTATGTCACATGTTTATCCACAAGACTTGAAAAGAACTGGACATAGCTCATCTGGCCCCATCATCACTACTGAGCTGAGACTTGGGAATATAAAGGCAAATAGAGAACCTTGGAGCAAGTACAGCTTCTCATGGTTCACCCATGAAAAGCAGTTCAGGCAACACAGCACTCTGTGAGGAAGGGCAATCAGGAGAAAAACCCTCCTGTATGGGCTGAACGTGTGGAAGTTATGATCTGCTTCTCCACCCAGAAGAGATGGATGGAACAAAGCTACAGGAGGTACTGAGTGAAAAATAATTTCTTTTAGGACATTTTCTTTCCAGGATGCTTCCAATACAACTTAGCAAAGTGGTGGTCCACTCCTGAGGCTTGTGCAGAGCCACAGACAGTGCTAGTTAGGGATCAGTTTCATCATTTTTGAAGGGAAATGCTCACTTTTCTCTCATTAGGATCCGGACCCATAATCTGTGCCTCCATGTGGAAATCCAGAGCTTCCCTCTGGCTGCCCTGGAAGGCCTGGGACCCTGGCAGGGGGTCAGGAACCCCCCTGTACAGAGCCCCGAGAGACACTGTCTCTGATCTCTGTCCATGGAAAAGAGTTTTCAATCTTACAGGATGAATTACAAGCTCTGAGTGTTTGATATAAGTAATAATTAAGTGTGGCATGGGTGCAAAAGTAAAATTTTAGGTTTCTAGATTAGGGGTTCAGAGGGGACAAGATGGAGGAATTGAGTGTGTCTTGTCCTTTTCCTCCTTCTTCATGGCCTCCACGTTTCACTGTAGTGTTGGCATTTTTCTATTGGTTTAGGCTGGGGACACACTGTTTAACGTAGATGATAGATATTTGCACATTACTGTAAATATAGTACAGGTAGTTTCTGGTATATAATGTTTGTACCATCCCACTGAGGGGCAGAGCCCTGCATGCTGCCCTGCAGGACAGACCTGCGGCAGGGCAGCAGAACATGTTAGAGATAAGCAAGAATAAACAACCTTGAAAACAGCACAGACGAATTATGACTTCTTCTTTGGCAGAGGGGCTGAAAGACAGACTTTTTACAACCTCGGAATCATCAATACCCACAGATTCCGACACCTCCAGAAGCACGTTGTCAGGAGAAAGTGATGAATTGCCCCCTGTAGTGAATGAAGAGAGTTAAGGTTGTTTGAAGACCTCCAGCACAGATGCCTTTAGCCTAAGGTGGATGCCTTACGTTAGGCACAGACTGACAAAGTAATCATTAATGCAGGAAGAAGAGCAATAATAGGAGGGTTGAGGTCAATTAAAAGAACTGAAGGGCAAAAGACATTTGAGCTCTTCCTCGCAAGAGTAAGAGAAATAAGAAGAAAGGTAATCTGGCAGCCCAAGCTGAAAGGCAGGGTGGCGCTGGGGAATCTGCCCGGATTTTCTTTCCCCTCCGCTCGCAAGAGCGCGCCGGGAGCCGGCAGCGCGGTGCCGAGGGGCGCTCCCCGCGGGCGGCACTTGGGGGAGCTCCGGCACCGCTCTGCGGGCGGCCGGGCAGCGCAGGGCCGCCGGGCGGGGACACGGACCGCGGCTGGCTCAGCGCCGGGGCTCGGGCCAGCCGCCCTGTCTGGGCCAGAGCTGCAGGAGACACGGAGATTAGGGCTGGGGGTGAGGGTGTCGGTAGCCAGAACCTCGTAGCACCGATGGGACAAACCCAGTGCCAGCACAAACCACTCCGCTCCCCCACCCCCCAGAGCGTTTTCGCAAACAACCGTGTCCCTGTGCCACAGGCAGCAGGGACCAAAAAGGCAAGAGACCCTTCTCTGTCCCGATCGAAACTGGAGGTGCTTCTCCAACACGTCATGCTTTTGGGTTTGGGATACCTGGGATGGGCTCTGTAGGGTCCCTATGAGAGAAGCTGGAATTAGCCATGCCTTAAACCCGAAGAGAAGAGCGGAAGCAACCCTGCCATGCATGCTAGCAGTAATTTCCAGTCCACATATTCATGGAGGGCACTGTGAAAGGTGATGAAGAAATCCAGAGTCATAGTTGCTCCAGAACTATTTGCAGACAAGTTATATTTTAAGAGTCAGAACTTCTGCTGGAAATTATTTCAGGGGCAAAAAAATAGAAGTTTACTGAAGATTAGTGGATCTCATAGAGCTGGATACACCAAATCTCAGCACCCTTCTCCCAGACACAGAAACAGATCAAGTGCTCAATGGCTCAGGGCTCAGGCTTCCATCCTGCATCAATGGCTAATTAATTAGACAATGCATAGAAAAACACCTTTAAAAACAAAAAAAAAAGCACAAAAAGACCCACACAGATCTGTAGTTGAGAAGGCCTCAAATGGCTTCAGAAAGAAACGGAACCTGAGCCTAGCTCCTTCTCACCCTTGGTGAGCATCCTAGCGCTATGGAATGACCCAGCAGGAGTCCTCCCAGGCAAGTTGTCTGAGACCTGGGCTAGATTCATGCTTCCTGAAATGTTTAGTAACACGATAAATAGTGCAGCTGCTTACCGACAGATTAAAACGTACGTGTTTAAGGCTGTGCCAGAAAACTGATAGAGTAACACTCCTTAAAGATGTGTGGGTGCCCTGGGGCACAGTTTGGTTCAGATCTCAGCTGAGAAGGAATTCTGAAGACGTGTTTGTGGAGAGAGGTGGAAAAGTGGTGGTGCTCCTGTGATTGCCTCCACAGATGCACAGAAAGACTGGTGTGGGATCCAATTCATTTAAACACTGCTTAGCTGGGATGAAAACAGACAGGAGATCCTGACAGTGCCCTACTCCTGCTGGCATGCATTGCTTACACACCTACTCACAATCCTTTGCACCACAGTTAAGGTTTGACACTTAGTTTTGGCTGCCTCTTTCCAAGTACACTAGGGTTCCTCTGCCTCCCTGCTCTATGCATCCATTGGCTGAAGAAGACTCAGAAGTTACTTCTAATGACAGCCCTCCAGTCCCACCAGTACCGTGACTGTCCTGTCTTCAGAGGAGGCCCGGAGGCTTCAGATCATAAAAACAAAGTGATGCCTAGTTCAAGTTTCCAAAATACTTCTCTTGAAGAAGCAACTACATGATGTGTACTGGGTTCTCCTTTGTAAAAGCCTCCTGTGTGTAGGGTTGCCCTGGGTGAGAAGGGGCTGTGAAGATAAACTGAGGCAGGGTTGGGCTGGTCCCTGGGAGCTGAGTCATGGAGCCTGGGGCAGGGGGGAGTGGGGGAGTGTGGGCCTCAGCTGGGCAGCTGGCTCGGGTCTACCTGGCCCTACCTTCAGCTCTTTTTGGGGCTTCTTTTCAGACCAGAAACAAAATGTAGTGAGACTCCTTTTCCCTCTCAGAAACTAGAATAAAATAGCTGGGAGCAAATGTGAGATGGTGGAGAGCAGTGAGGTACCAATTTCTCCTTGGAGCCAGAAGAACTAAGGGTTTGGGTTGGAGGGTAAAGGTTTGTCCAGGGAGAAAGATGAGTCTTCTGCCTTCCTACAGCCCCATCATAAGGAAAGGTCCCACATGGGAGGCTTGACCTGCTCCCTGCCAGGCCAAAGAAGCACTTGGCACTTCTCTCCTTTGGGCTCCTACATTTGCTAGCACTAAATATTATCCACAAAGCACCATGGCCCTTCAGGGTTCTGTACAATTATGATCTTGCAAACAGCAGACCACCTACATGGGTCAGCAACACCCTGTGCCTCTGCCCACTGAATGAGTTTGTAGGACTGGGCTTACTGTGGGACACAAGGCTGAGGGAGACAGTGGTATGGGACAACCAGCCCATAGTGCCTTGCCATGGAAGGGCTTGGAGCAAAGGGAATGGTGCAGAAAAATCGGCAAGACTAGCATGTGTTGTGGAGATGGGGACAACACACGAAAGATGCATGCATCACCTCCCTGCTAAGGTTTCAGAGCTGAGAAATGTAGAAGATTAATCAGTGAGGAAAGCAGTGAGGGCGTCAGCCTTCAGATTGCCCTTGGGAGAGGGAATAGCACGGGGGCAGCCACACTGCTGGCAAATGTGTGCAACCCATTTTACAGCTCAGATTCAGTGTTTTGCTTGGCACGGGAGACGACACTCGTGTCAGTGGCCCCATCCCACCAGCTGGGCCGGGACTTGCGGTCTGGGAGACCGGGGGCAACCTCTGCCTGGGTCTCCCGTGCCGGCCGTGCCTCGCCGCAAAGCCGAGAGCGTGAGGCTGGGGAGCACCGCGCTCCCGCTGCATCCCCTGCCGGGCGCTGCCCGGGCCCTGCGTGCTGCGGGGAGTGTCCGTGGGTGGCCGGGAGGTGTCCTTGGAGGCAGGGGCGACAACAGCCGAGCTCTGGGCTTCCCCTCCCGCGAGAGGGAGCGCCCCCGCCGCCGCCCGGCCGCGCCGTCGGGCCGCGCCGCGGATGCGCGCTGCCGGTGACTCACGGCTCCCGTGACCGGACCGGGCCCCGGCCCTCCCAGCCGGGACGTGCCGGCAGGGCCCGGGCACAAGCGCTCTGCGGGCAGCCCGGGAGCCCTGGTGCGGTCTTCTTCCTCTGTGACATTTTAAAAAGATAACAAAGTAAGTTAAAGTCAAGTAAAACAAATTAATAGAATAAAATCCAACCAAGGCTATTTCCTCGGTTAGCAGAGGTATGCCAGCCACTGGATCTGAGAGGCTGGGAACACCCTCACCAGCCTCTGGCTGGCAGAGGCCTCTGGTGTATCATACCACTTTTTTTGTCCTTCTTCTCTGTTTATGTTCCTGGTTCCTGAAGGAGAAAAGGGCCATGAGAACTCAGGCCTGGCAGCACCTGTGCAAAGAGGCAGGGCCGGCCCATGGCGGTGCTGGTACGGGGCGGCTGTGCCCCGGCCAGGCACCAGGTGCCACCTTCCCTCCCCGTCTGCTTTCTTCCCAGCAACGCGAATCCGCTGGGGAGCGAGCGCTCAGCATCTAACCCCCTCCTAGAGGCATGTGCTTAAACAAGACGAGTATCAACCCCACGATAAAAGTATTGGGTTATTCTGCAATGTAATCTACATCAAAGCCTCGGGGGCTGCCGGCTTGAAAAGATCCAAGATGTTTTCTAAGTCCTTATCATGTCTGTGCTTAGGGGAGTCATAAATTCCACAGGTCGAACTAACTAACACACGATTCCTCCTTCCCTTCTCTCTCCATGGCCGCCAAAGGGCTTTCAAGCGGGCTTTTTTTTTTTTTTTTTTTTTTTTTTTACCTTGTAAACAACGTTCCCGGTTCCGTGTCGTTAAGGTGGAGGGAGACGGAAAGATTCCCCCCACCCCACCCTGAGATTCTCCTAAATCACAGAAAAAGGACTTATACCACAAAGCAAGCAGAAATAAAGACGGTGAATCCGCATCTCCACAGGGGTCCCGCCGAGTGGGAGCAGCCTATGGAGGAGGTATCGCGGGTGCTGCTCAGCGCTCAGCCTTTCCCGGTACTTAGGGGACATCTCTGACCTGGGATGAGAATCCTCGGGCTGTGCTGCTCGACCCATTATCCCCCAGTCCGCGCCAGCCCCGTAGCCCGAGGCGACGATGAGCGTCGGTCCCGAAGCGCGGGGTTCGCTCCGGTTCCGAGCACCGCCTGCCCGGGGTCCGAGGGCCGGCAGCGGGCAGCGGGCAGCGGGCAGCGGGCAGCGGGCAGCAGCGCCCTGCCCCCGGCACCTCCCCGCAGCCGCGCCGATGCTCTGGCTACCCCCGCAAAAATGTCGGCAATTTTTTTTCAGATCAAGAAGTAAGGTTGAGGCTGAAGGAGGAGGACGGGGAGCTCAGCATCTGCCCAGGAGGCAGCCCTGGGTGAAAAAGCCCTACGGGGAGAATATCGAGGTCAACGTGAAGGGGAGGGGGAAGATATTTCCCTGCGAACGGTGTCCCCCATCAGGCACTTTTCAGCTTGAGAGGCGCTGGGTCGCAATTCCTCGCTCAGAACCTAACGAAATAAAAAAAAATTTAAAAAAAAAAAAAAAAAACCCAAAAAAACTGGAGGAAGCGAGAAGGGAGAGATCAGGCCTTCGCCCAGGATCCCCTGTGAGGATCTGGTCCCAGGGTCCCTACTCCTCTCCTGGATCTGCAGCTCTGGGCCGGAGCTGGCAGGAAAACCTGAGACGAAAGAAGAGAGGGAGCAGGTAGAATGGAGGGGAGAAAAGTGGTGAAAACCGGCCGAGAGAGATAGCCTTTCTCCCCAGCCTCCTTGAGAAGCCCCGATAGCTGGGTAGGGCCGGAGAGGGGACAAATACTGTGCCAGTCGCAACGGAAAGAAGCCCAAAGGGCGGCAAAGGCATCTAGGAGTGGGTGGGGATCCCTCTTATTTTAAGACAAGAGTGGCCCGGGGCAGCGTATTCCCATTCCCAGCAGCTGCCATGGGTCCCGCTCGGGGAGCAGCTGCGCGGCGGAGGATGCTTCGAAGCATTTATCCGCGGGGGAAGCGGGACTCGTCCCCATCTCGCCGCCGACCCCAGTTAGGGTACGGCTGGTGGGGCCCGGTCTTCCCAAGTTCTCCCCGTACTGGGGGACAAATGGAATCACTCTCAGAATGGCAAAGTAGTGGAGCAGCGCTCTGGCTGCCATTCTAGGTAGTCGCGGGGCTGCCTTGGAGCCCTATCCTGTTCCTTCACCGGAGCCGCGAGACTCTCATTTGATCCCGCAGCCAACGGCCTCCAGCCCTGGCAGCTCGGACTGCCGTCGGGTCTCCCCAAAACGCTGCCACCTGGCCGCCAGGGATGCACTTATAGAGCCTTAGCCACTGAATCGGGCTGTTTCGGGATTGTAGTGCGTTTTATTACAATATGTCCAGAGTTTTGTCGTTTTAATGGCCCCTTTCTCCGTTTATGGCATCATCAAATTCACATCTGCATAGATCGGCTCTGTAGGCGCTTATCGGGGGAGGCGATTACATTGAAGGGACACAGCATTTCCTTTCCAGAGTGACAATTCAGTCTCCTGCTCAGACAGCGTTGGGAGCTCCAAGCCCCGCTCCCATCTCCTTGTTACCCCACCGTCGGGGCGGGGGAGGGGGGAAAAGTATCACGGTGGGAATAAGCAACAGAGAGAGAAATTCCCTCCCGAGAAAGCGTCCGGCAAGCATCTCTGCATTCCTGCTGTTGTGCTGCTGTTATCTTAGGGTCGCAACCGCGGCCGCCTGCGAACAAGTGACGGTGTGGGCACAAGCATTCCTGGCTATGTGCAGGGTGGGGATATCCCATTTCTCGCATCCAAGCCACCCGCAGCGACTCCGAGAGGGTCGTCCGTGGCCTCTTCCCAAGGAGACATGCTCCATTCTTTCCTATTTGAGCATCCCAGCCTCCCAGGGCCACTGACACTGGATCCCTTGGGACATTTTGAGAGAGGTCACTGAATTACCCGCGTGGCGTTAAAGCATGGCTCCGCGTCAGCCCCACGCTCAGCACCAAAGGAACGATAGAATGGGAGGAAGGAGAGGGAGGTTTTCAGAGAGTGGGTTCGGGATATCTGCCTTTGCAGAGCTGAAATATGCCCTCAGCTTCAAGACACCCCATCTCAGTGACACTCCTCGGTGTGCAGAACAGCCACCCACGTGGAAGGAAAAGCACCCCTGGGACACGACCACGTATGTAATACCCGGGACATGAGGGTCCGGGACAGCGCGGGGCCCGTCTGGGGAGCCCCGGTAGGACCGAGCCGCAGCCGCCCCAAGGGACCGGGAAAGCCGGTGAGAATGGCTGAGACGGTGCTGCGCTGCTCCGGCGAAAAGTGCTGGGAAAATGGGGGGACATTCCCGTCCCCATCCATTTTTTCTCGGCGGGTGAAAGGTTTCCTCGCTGTGTCATGGGAAAAGATGCGAATATGCAAACGTCGTCTCGCATTGTCCCCTCTCAGGGTGAAAAGTTAAAGCATAAAAGCGGCGGGGGGAAGCTGAGAGGGGGTCGCTTTTTCAAAGGGGACTGGCTGGGCTGGGGGAGCCGGCTGCCGCTTGCCTGGGAGCCGCCCTTCCAGAGCCAGCATTTCCAGAGGGTTTCCAAGGAGCTGGGGAGGGAAGAAGTGAGTGTGCCTGGAGCGACAAGCCGTCGGCTTCCCCGCGGGCTCGGCCGCGCTAGAGCGGGGGAATCGCCCAGTGAGGTGACAGGCTCCGGAGGAGGTTGATGGTTCCCTCCTCAGGAGAACCATCCCCTGCCTCAGTCCCAAGGCCTCCCCGGGCGGCAGGATTATCCGGCCTCGCTCCAGTGGAGGGTCTGAGGGTAGAGGGTGTTTTAGACTAAGGCACCCCTAATCCTCGTCCTTTCCCGGACCTGCTGGCGCGCCCGACCTCGAAGCTCTGCAGGCACACGCGGAGGAAGGAGACAGCGCCCTTGGAGGGGGGAATTTCTCCTCTTACCTCGCCTTCATCGCCCATGACCCAGCGGGAGCAGGAGCGGGTGGGAAGCATTTTACAAAAAGCAGTAGGCCGTCGCGATGGGGTTTGTTGCTCAAAACAACCACTACAAAATGGCTTTGTGGATTTTTAATCAAAACTCCCTCCTCTTCCGCCCCTTCCCCCCCCCCCCGCCCACCCCCCAGTCCCAAAGCACAGAGAAGAGCTGGCTAAAGTGCTGCCTACAGATCGGCCGTGATACACGGCTCCCATATTCCCACCCTCGCCCTTAGATCTCCCTCGCTGTCTTTTGCAAGTCTCTTGATTTCATCCTTTGAACCTGTGATTGGAGGTTAAAGTGCACCAGGTTGCAATGGAAGGAGGAAGCTCTTAAACAATAAAGGCTTGAATATTTAGCTGTGATCAGGTCGCTGCCCTCTCCTTATCTTTTTAAATGCAAATCGTCTTTTAGGGGTAGTAGCTATATACCCAGCGCCTCTCCACGTCACCTGCCTTTGGTGTGTCTGGGCCATTACTAATAGAGCCTTGTAAACAATCGTTAATCATGTAAGGACTGCCGGCCATTGGATTCGGACCGGGAGAGCGGAGGAGCGCGGAGCGCAGCGCGGGGCCGCGGCCCCTCCGCCTGCCCCCTCCCCGCCCCGGGCAGCCCGGCCCCAGGCAGCAGCAGGCGCGCCGCGGCGAGAGCCCCGAGCAGCATGTGGAGAGCCGCCGCCGGGGCCCCGCCAGCATGTACGTGAGCTACCTCTTGGAGAAGGACGGGCCCATGTACCCTGGCCCGGTGCGGCACTCGGGGGGGCTTAACCTGGCGGCGCAGAACTTCGTTGGTGCCCCGCAGTACGCGGACTACGGCGGGTACCATGTGAACCTCGACGGCGCCCAGTCCCCGGGGCCCGCCTGGCCCGCGCCCTACGCCGCCCCGCTCCGCGACGACTGGGGCACCTATGGCCAAGGGGCACCGCCGGCCGCCGGCGCCGTCCACGGCCTCAACGGGGGCTCCCCCGCCGCCCCCATGGCCTACAGCCCCGCCGACTACCACCACCACCACCACCACCCGCACGCCCACCACCACGCCGGCCCCGCGCCCCACTGCTCCGCCGGGGTCATGCAGCCCCTCAACGCCGCCAGCGCCGCCGCCAGCGCCGCCCCCGAGCCGCTCTCCCCCGGTGGGCAGCGCCGCGGCCTCTGCGAGTGGATGAGGAAGCCGGCGCAGCCCCCGCTCAGCAGCCAGGGTAAGTGCGGGCCGGGGCCAGGCGGGCGGGGGCTGCCCCGCCGACGACTCCCCCGGGGCGCCACCGGCTCCCCGTTGAGCCGGGCAGCCCGACAAAACATTTTTTCGGGGAGAGCTCCCCGAAACAAACCCCTCCGAGGATCGATCCTCGGGCGAGCAGGGCTGCCAGGCTCTACCAACAGTCCGTCCGCGCCCATTGCCGAGTGCCGGGCCCGGCAGCGGCAGGAGCGGCGCTCGGCCGGTGAGCAGCCGCTGCCAGCCCCGGTGACCGGGGCTGCGCTCCGGCGGAGGAGGATGGAATGGTCTGGATCCCGAGGAAACGCTCGCTCTTCCTCCCACTGCTCCGCTCTCCTGCTTATAGCCACTTAGAAGATTTTTATAACCAATTATAGTCATATAAATCATCGGCCGGTGTCGCTCCGCATTTGTTTCTGAGTCACTGGCCGCCTGCCCTTTATTAAGGTCTCCGTGCGGCCAGGCCTCCCGTGCGACAGCGGCGGCCACTTGCCAGCCCGATCCTTTCGAGCCGGGCCGTGCCCCGGCCGGACCGGGCCGGGCCGTGCGAGGGCGTGCCCTCCCGGGTCAGGCCGTAGCCGGCGCCTCGCTCCCTTGTGATGTTAATACCCCCGCAGACCCTCTCTTTCATTCCCACCGTGCATCTGCCAGGGGACATGCGTGTCCCGCGCTTTGATATACACCTTCCACGGCTTCCTCTCCTCTTTTCCTTTTTTTTTTTTTTTTCCTTTTTTGTATATATTTTTTTCAAATTTTAAAATATTTGTATATAGCGGCTGAAAAAAAAAAAAAAAAAAAAAAGGATGACGACTTTCGCAGTGAATAGTGACTTATGGCATTCCCCTCTCATCCCCTGCCTTGCGTGACCGACAGCAGGGCCGGCGGGGGTACCCCGGTCGGGTCGGAGCGGAGCGGAGCGGGAGTCCTGGCTACGCCAGTGGCCCCCGCGCCCCGGGGAAAAAGCCTACGAGCCCCGGTACCGAGCGCTGACACCGCCACGTCCCGGGCGCCGGTGGCGGTGGAACTCTGACAGGCCCACCGCGCTTCCCACAGCAGCCCGTGGTGTTCCCACAGTTTGGGCTTGTGCGGTGGTGGCCGGTCCCTTGTCTCCATTCAAATTCTGCCTTTGGAGCCAGTGTTTATGTTAATGTGCAGAGCTGGGGGGATGAAAGCGCCTGCCGCCATTTGTTCAGTAGTGGTAATTCAAACAGAATGTGGCTGTCATTAAGGCTTTGAGAAGGGTTTTTCTTTGATAAGATCTCCTTGTCCTGCATTGTTTGGGACTGTGTTCCCTATTCACTAACTCTGGGGAGTTTTCTCTGATCAGGCTTGTATCTTTACAGGGTGCTTTTGTTGTGGTTTGCAGAAAGTTTACCTGAACAAAGTCAGCCTGCTAGCCATTAAGCACCTTGGGGGCAGAGACTCCCCGCCTCGGCTCCCTGGGGAACGGGAGGGCAGGGGACACAACCAGTTAAACAAGAAACCCTCGGGAAAAAGGAGGTCAGCGGCTGCAGCGATACACACTCAACGGCTGCGAGCCCGCTTTCGCCCTCGGATTCCGCTGGGTTTTCGGTGTTTGGTTTGGGTTGGGTTTTTTTGGTTTTTTGTTTCTTGGCTTGGGTTGTTGTCGTTGGGATTTTTTTAGCTCTGGAGTTGCACGTCACACTTCCAGGCTTCCCAAGAAATCCCTTTAGCCCCTATGCCGTAACAGAAAAGGGGGAGCTGGCCACTTCACGAGTGGTTCCCCGCGGCCGCTCCCGATTCTCCGCCCTTAGATGTCTGTTCCTCATTTAGAAACGAAATCACCGTGCCCTGAATGGGCCTTTTCTTTCTTTCTTTCCCTTTTCCTCTTTCTCTATAAGAAGTTTGTTGCCGCTAGGGAAAGCAAAAAAAAAAGCCCCAAAATCCAACAAGTGCACAGTGAAGGTGTCCCCGTGCAAGGCAGGGGTGTGCGGTAGGGCCAGGGCTGGCAACCGGGGCTGGGAGCCTCTGCGCCCGCCGGCATGCCTGGCAATGATGTCTCATGTCCCCAAGGAGCTGTGGAACGTCTCCTCTCCTCTGCTGCGCTCAGCAGAACGTTCCCAGGGCAGGGGGAGGCGAGCAGCAAGCTCAGGAGGTGGGGATAGGACCGCTCCTGATCGCTCTGCACCGCAGACAGAATGGCTGCGCTCAGCTCTGCCCTTTGGCTTTGACTTTCTCAACCCTGGCTTTGTGCTCCGCAGTTAAAACCAGGACGAAAGACAAGTACCGCGTCGTGTACACCGACCACCAGCGGCTGGAGCTGGAGAAGGAGTTTCACTACAGCCGCTACATCACCATCAGGAGAAAAGCGGAGCTGGCCTCCAACCTGGGGCTGTCGGAGAGGCAGGTCTGTCCCAAAAGTGGCGCTCCCTATGCACGCCACGTGTGGCCGGGCTGCGCGGGGGCAGGGATGCGCGGGGCTGGGATGCGCGGGGTTGGGATGCGCGGGGTTGGGATGCGCTCTCGGTGAGAGCCCCTGAGAGGGGGATAGATCCCCGGCGGACTGTCCCCCCTCACTCCACTGTCCACCTCCTGGCAGGTGAAAATCTGGTTCCAGAACAGGCGGGCGAAGGAGAGGAAGATCAACAAGAAGAAGCTGCAGCAGGCGCAGCCCGGCGGCGCGGAGCCCCTCAGCCCCAGCGCCTCCTTGCAGGGTGCGGCGGCGGGGGCGGCCACCGCCGGGCTGGGCCCCGCCGCCCCGCAGTGACAGCGGCCGGGGACAGCGGCACAGGGACTGCTGGAGGGCGCAGCGGATCGGGCCGGGCCGGGGGCACGGCGGGAGCGGCCCCCCGATGCACTACACCGCCCCGCGGGGCCGGCCGTGTGTACAGGTGTACAGTGTATGTGTCTCGTCGTCCGGGGGAAGCGTGCCCATCACTTTATTAATATTATTATTATGTTTGGGTGGGTTTTTTTACCCTGGAATTTGTTAGATAAAGTGGGGGCGCTGCCTGCCAGTCAACCCCCGGTATATCTCAGGGATCGGTCCAAAAGACCTTTGCAATGTTGTTGGGCTAATGATGAATTTTAGCAGGAAAAAAATTAAAGCACATTTTTTTTTATTTTATATTTTATTTTATTTTCTTATTGCAACCATGAATATGCAAAATGTTCATTCTGCCCTGAGGGTCAGAGCAGACAAGATAAGGCACTGTTTAAACGTCCAGAAGTGAATTGCTTAATGTTAGGCACTTGTAAAAGAGCCCATAAATCCAGTGCAGATAGTCATCCGTCCAGATTTATTAGCTGCAGTGAAGAGAAATTGAAAGAATTTAGTCTCTTCTGAAAAAGGTGTCCTGTCATGCTGAAGTGAGAAGCCTTGTTTGCATGGGCAATGTCCCTTTGGTTAAACTGTGTGCTGTTTCTCACATCCTTACAATTTCTGTCTGCGGGGAGGTGGGAGGGGCTGTCTCAGTTGATTTTCCAAAGTTCCTTTGATTTTATCAGCTTTATGTAGGCATCATCACAGCTCCATCAGAAGCAGAAATCCTTGGAAGAGCCCAGTGCTCTATCAGAGCCTACTTTGCACAGGTTGTGGCCCATTTCCACAGGCTGGCTAGATGGAGGGGATCAGGGTAGAGAGGCCAAAAGGCTCACTTAGGCAGAGATGAAAACTAGAAATGTCCAGCTGATTTGGCTGAATCACCCTGGCTGTTTGTCACATGTACTTCTTATTTCAAGACAGGAGAAGTCCAGCTGTGAATTGAGGCCAGGCTGGAGCAGCCACGCTGCAGTCAGTGCCCTTGGCTGGGTGTGGAGCCAGCTCATGTGGGCCTGGGCCCAGCAGGGATGATGGGAGCACTGTCCAGCCCCAAACATCTTATGTGGATTATTGACTTCCCCAGGATTTAGCCCCATGCTGTTCAGTTTTGGTCATCAAGTTTATTTAAGTTATTCCATTTGCCTTCTTTTGGTTTCTTCCTTGTTGAAGCTTTTCTTATCTTTTTGCTAAAAGCCAAAGCCAGATACTAGCAGCATCTACAGAACTGCCTGGGGAGAATGGTCTGGTCAAGCACTGACCCTCCTGAGAAGTCAGCTCTCTCTGCCTGAGGGAACTTGGGGAAATGGAAATCCCCAGCCCCAAAGCCTCTGCACTGCATTTTGTCTGCATGTAGCTCCATGCCTTGCAGGGCCAGGGCTAGCAGTACAAGAGGGGACATGTGGCCATAAAAACATGATCCAGGGTTCCTGTTCCTGGGAGAAGACCATGGTGGGAGGCAGCAGCTCCAGTCCAAGGAACCTGCTTGATTTTCTGCTGCATACGTGGTCTCCGAAGTGGGCCTGGCCAGGAAACACGGGTGCAGTCACAAAGCAGTAATGCTCATTGCACACGGGCTTGACACAGAGCACGTCCTGCTGGGTCCAATGTCCATGGTTTGTTCCTGATCAGAGGAGACAGGAGCCAGATTCATCCTCCTGTGACCCTAAAGGCTCCTTGGATCATTCTGGAGGAGCTGCTGGGGACAACCAAAGCTGAGCAGCACCCAAACCGAGGGTCTTGGCTCTGCGGCACCAGCCCCCAACCAGCGCAGAGCAGCTGCGCCGGGGCTCTCGGAGCTAGAAGGGCTTTGCAGGCACCACGTCCCACTCCTCCCTCTGCGCTGTGCCCGGGCACAGGGGCTCTCGGGCGGAGCAGCCCCGGGCGGGGCCGGCCCTTGGAGGATGTCCTGCGGCTCCCGGGGCCGCCCCCGCAGCATTGACCCCAGCCCGCTGCTGCCGGGGCTGCTGCGCGTTGCTGCGATACGCCTGTCAATAAACCCTGTTTGGATTGTGGAGCAGAGCGCAAGGTTTGTTTGTTTAGTGGTTAGAGGTTCAAAAGTCGGCATTGTCCCACTGCAAACGAGCACAAGTTTTTTCTCCCTAAGGAAAAGCTGGCTGTGCTGAGTGGGAGGGAGAGATATCGGTGGGCCCTTTTATTTGCTTCCAGGAATAATTAATGGCAGTGAGAAAAAAGATGACCACGGAGTTATGAAAGACCATCAATAAGTAAATTAATCACAAAGGATCTGAGGGTTTAAGAGGTGCTGCTTGCTGTGGTTTTGCTGGCATTTACCCATGCCCATGGGGCTGGAGTGACACGGGACTGGCAGAATCCAGGACTCCTTACTGCAGTGGTGGCACACCACTTGCCTCTGGACCAGCCCAGGCATGGCAATATTTTGGACAGTACCTGTAATCTCTCAGTCCTGTGCTTTGTGGGTTGGGTTATTTTTAATGCTGAAAGTGTGAACATTTCTTTCTTGCCTGTAGGACTTTTGAGAAAGACAGTTGCCCTCATTGAGGTGGACTGTTAGATGTTCACTAAAGTTTTTTTCTCCAAAAAGCTCATTAGAGATACATCAACAAACCTGACACATTTTAAACATCCCCATTCCAGATCTCTTGATCTCTATTAGCAAGCATTCATTTTCTGAACTCTCCTCAAATTCTTTACTCTGGCAACACAGAACTCAGATGTCTGAGTCTAAGAAGCAAGTAACCAAGCAAATAATATCCACTCCAGTTTCAAATATGTTCTCTCTCCTATCCCCAAGCAAGCAAACCATCAAGCTACCATTCTTTATATTCCTCATGCACCATAAAGGAGTGTAAAAAGGAACAAACTGGGTATGTAGTTTATTTGAGTGGATATTTACAGGCACCTGGATCAGTCCATAGCTGAATTATGACATTGAATGAGAAGCTCTGTTTGCCAGAGGTAAGCTGGTTGTGGTGACCCCCCGAGCAACCCATGGCTGTTTTCAATTCTCACAGAGCTCCATGCAGTCCTGCAGCAGCAAGACAACCCAGATTGGTGGGACTCAACAGGTCAGAGCTGCTGCACCTTGCTTGCCTGACAGGGGCTGGAGCAGGAGTCCATGAAAAGAAAAAATCCAGGAAATCAGAAGGTTTGGCCCCAAAGTTACAAGATGGAAGTCCCCTGCTCTGCCTCTCTTGTCAGATTTTCCTGCTCCTATCACTGTACAATAACAAACCAATTGGTATTCCTTCTCTTGGATTAACTCTTAGGAAAATACCAGTTTCACAAGAAAGCTCTTTGAGTTTGGGGCGAGGGACAACATGTGTCATAGCCCATCATAGGAAGAAGAGAAAGGTCCTTAGAGGCCTAGGATGGCATCTAGAGCAAATGTCTGCTTGCGCTGATCTGAAGTATCTTTTACGGGCACTTTATGGGTTCTCAGTCTGATGGCTGAGTACTCTGGATCTGTAGAATGAATACAGGAAGCTTTTATAAAAAGAAAAAAAAAAAAGGTCTTACATTAGGAATAAGCAACAACTTGAGACATACTCTCCATCCAGCATTTTTCCCACACAGGTGACCTCTGTCCAGGCTGTTTCCATCTGGGGACGAAGCAGGGGTTAGATGCACATATCCCATCTGTCTAACATAGGGCAGAGCCCATTCTTCAGAAACTGAGGAGGGGGGTTTGCTATGGGTGACAGAAATGATGGCTCCAGAGGACTGTATGGGGCCATAGGTTTCTCCTTGCTATTCCATTAGCAGCTGGTGTGGAAAAGGCAATCATGGAGCTTACAATTCTGTTGACACAGCTCTGCTGTGTCATAGCCAAAATTCATGACCAAATACTTTCCCTCCGTCCCACACAAGTAATGGAACTGTGTGCTGAATTTTAGAGCAGCTAGAGCTGAAAGCAAATCTTGAATTGATGCCAGAGAAGCAGCACTGGAGGCCTTCCAGGAAACAAACAGCTTGTAAATGCTAACAAAAGTAATCAGGACAGAAGTCTGTTGAGGGCAGTCCTGCTGCAGGGGTAGCTCAGCAAGAGAGCGAGGCCACCTTGGAGTGAGAGGCCATGGGATGGGTGGCCTGATGCAGCAGACTACAGCGCCAAGGAGGTGCATGCTAGGAACCTCCCTAGCAAAACTGCTCTGGTCACTGTCAGAAAGCCATGGCAGGAAGTGTCAGAAGCCTCTGGGGACAGATGGGGACAAACTCTCCCAGAAGCCTTAGCAGCCTTCTGGGCTTTGCTCCAGAACAGCTCTTTGAGGGAGCAGGATGTTCCTGTTCTCCTCGCTGATGAGGAAGGGCTGCTTCCTTCTCACCTGCATGTTCTGACACGCTGGGACTCAGGTGAACACAGACAGTTTCTCCTAATTAAAGTCTCAGCTCCTGCAATGCCCCCGTTCCATTCGCAGTTTTTGACGCTTTCAGGAGTAAAACTTAGCCTCCTTCAAAGAGGGCAACAGAGTGTCACTTGCAAAGAAACTGGAAAAATTTCAGCTATTCACAAAAGCAAACAGTTTGTTGCCAGGAGATTGGAATTAGAGACTTAGGAATCCCTTTCAAGCCCTGTATTTCTAAATTGAAGTATCACCTATTTTGGGATGACACCCACTGGATCCCCCTGCTTCAAAGTAGGTACAGAAAAATTCAGGGTGAAACCTCATGGATGATTCTCAATACACATTCACACAGATGTCTAGGTACCAATCTGTGGCATTCATTAGGCTCCAGACCAGTTCGCCACTGGTAAATAACATTAATAATTTTCTCATTGCTCCTAATTTCCTCTAATTAAAACACTAACTAACCTAATTATCTAATGCAATCTGTATTATAGATAATCTATTTCATGTAATATCTAACCTATTGGTCCAGGTAGGTATTTTGATTCAATTTTTCAAACTGAGGGAAGTTCATCATTACCCTTCTTAAGTGTGCTTCATAGAATCATATAATAGTGTGGGCTGGAAGGGACCTTTTAAACTCACCTAGGTCCTTCTGCCCTGCAATGAACCTCTTCAAATGGATCAGGTTGCTCAGAGCCCTGTCCAACCTGACCTTGCATGTTCCCAGGGATGGGACATCTCCCACCTCTCTAGGCAATCCATGCTCTTCATGCCCTCTCTGAGAAACATGTTCCAGTGTTTCAGCACCCCCATTGTAAACATTTCTTCTTTATATCTAGTCTAAATGCAGGCTCCTTTAGTTTAAATTTCTGTCAGTTCATTTCCAACCTGCTGATCCCTAGCACTTGAGCGGGGATGAAGAAAATTAGAACGATGCCAAATGCAACATCTGTCCCTCAGCACCCCTGCACCCAGCTGCAACAGGCAGGACTGGGGGAAAAACCACTGCTTTTAGTGCTATTCCAAAAGGAGAGAATGAACCAAACAGAACACATGGAACTTCCCTGCTTTCAGCATTCTTCTCCCCTTAGTCACTCAGGTATTTTTGGGCAGCTGTTGAAAGCTCATGCAGTTTTGCTTTTGAGTCAGATCCTGTTCCCCTGACACTTCTTGCTGCCTTCCAAAGAGCTGCAGCCTGTCCTACAGATAACTTGCATAGATCCAAAGACCTTCAGGAGAGAAAAGCTGCCTTATCTCCTGCATTCTTTGGAAAGGGATGCTCCTCACTGCTCTGTCCCTTCCTCTGCTGGCATTCAAGGCAAACTTTTAGCCCTGGAAACTGAGATTGCTTGTGGCCTATTTTTTCCGTGCCATGGTGTGACCATGCAGACAGAAAGATCACTTAGGGCTACAAGACCAAGGCTTGCTTGGTCTCTTCCCTCCCTGAGTGTCACCAGTTAGGGCTTTCAACAAAGGCTTGCTTGTAATGAAGTCCTTGGAGGACATCTTGATGCAGAACTCAAAAGGAAACCAGGTGCATGATTCAGGGCACTCCACAATCAGGTGGGTCTCAGGATTTTTAAGATCACAATTCTGCTTTTCAGCACCCCGAGTGCAGCATGGGCAAGACATGGACACCAAGAGGCCTTCTGAGCCTCCAAAGGCATTGAAACTCCTAAATCAAGCAAGAGACAAGAGGCATAAGTACCCAAGATTTTTATTCTTTTTTCCACAGTTTGAAAATGAGCCAATTTTGTCATGGAGATTGTTGGAAGTCATATAAAGAGCTGTACAACAGTTAACTACTGAGGTCTCTAAAGATAACTCAAGCTTTTGATTACATTTTAGGGAAATTTCAGTCCTCATCTGATCTAGATTTTTTTTTTTTTATTTGTAAAATTTCAGGTGAGATGGAATTTACATTAGTGAGAATCCCTTATTATCCATAATACCAAAGAAATTTTTTTCCAGTTTAAAATACAAATGTGCTATTTGAAGAATAATCAAACCACTAATTTTTCATATATATTAAGCATATACGTGTATGCTGTTTATCTGGCAATTATGCTCATTTTTTTAGCTCTTATTTCCTCCCCATCAAGAAGCTTATGTGTATCCATAGAGGTGGAGATAGAGCTAACCACGGAGGTCTGCAAAGGGGTCTCTGAAAACATCTTGCGCAACTGTTTCTAGGAATGTAGTGACTCAGAAGAAAAAGAGACTTTCTCTTATCAGGAGTGTGTTTCTTCCTCAAGGACTTCAATCCAGAAACACGATCCTTTTTCTGTTCCCAGTAACGACATCCTGCTCTTCCAAGGCCAGAGCAACACTTTGGACTTACTCTTTCATTCTCAGTCACTCCCTCACCAATCTCCTATGGTAGTTCCAAAGGTGTTTTCCATCCTCAGCGGGTTGGTCTCTGCTGACGGCTCTTGCCGGTAAAACGTTCCCTTTGTTATCTCTTTGCCTGTGGGCACACGTTCCTGAATTGGAGCAGGAAAACACCGACGCTGGCCCAAGGCAAGCAGCTGCTCAAGCCGGGGTAGATGGGGCTGGCATGGTGAGGGGCCAGCAGCCCACCAGAGTCTGTGGTGGCCCAGAGTCTGGGGGGATTCAGCCTCCTCCAATGCACATCCTTACTCAGGCATACTGCCAAGGACGCCTGGAAACCTTCCTCCTTCCC